AACAATTCGTACTTTTTCGATCAGACTTCTCAATCAAAAGTTATAGACTAGAAACCAATTTCGAAAAAAAATTCAAAGGGCTGTAACTTTTGAACTAGTAGCCCAATCTTGGAACTGTTTGAAATTATGGATTCTACAGGCCACATTCTATAAGAAAAATTTTTTTCCGGGTCGATCTGAGACAATTTTTTTTCGGGGCCCAAAAAAAGGCAGTGTATAACCTTCCTTTTTTACCAAAAATCGACTGCACCAAAATTTCTCGGGAAACACTTTTTCTTATTAATTTTGGTGCGTAGAATCCAAAACAATTCGTACTTTTTCGATCAGAATTCTCAATCAAAAGTTATAGACTAGAAACCAATTTCGAAAGAAAATTCAAAGGGCTGTAACTTTTGAACTAGTAGCCCAATTTTGGAACTGTTTGAAATTATGGATTTACAGGCCACATTCTAAAAGAAAAAATTTTTTCCGGGTCTATCTGAGACAATTTTTTTTTCGGGCCTCAAAAAAAGGCAGTGTATAACCTTCCTTTTTTACCAAAAATCGACTACACCAAAATTTGTCGGGAAAACACTTTTTCTTATTAATTTTGGTGCGTAGAATCCAAAATAATTCGTACTTTTTCGATAAGACTTCTCAATCAAAAGTTATAGACTAGAAACCAATTTCGAAAGAAAATTCAAAGGGCTGTAACTTTTGAACTAGTAGCCCAATCTTAGAACTGTTTGAAATTATGGATTCTACAGGCCACATTCTATAAGAAAATTTTTTTTCCGGGTCGATCTGAGACAATTTTTTTTTCGGGGCTCAAAAAAAAGGCAGTGTATAACCTTCCTTTTTTACCAAAAATCGACTGCACCAAAATTTCTCGGGAAAACACTTTTTCTTATTAATTTTGGTGCGTATAATCCAAAACAATTCGTATTTTTTCGATCAGACTTCTCTATCAAAAGATAGATTAGAAACCATAATTTCGAAATAAAATTCAAAGGGCTGTAACTTTTGAACTAGTAGCCCAATCTTGGAACTGTTTGAAGTTATGGATTCTACAGGCCACATTCTATAAGAACATTTTTTTCCGGGTCGTTCTGAGACAATTTTTTTTTCGAGCCTCAAAAAAGGCAGTGTACAACCTTCTTTTTTTACCAAAAATCGACTACACCAAAATTTCTCGGGAAAACACTTTTTCTTATTAATTTTGGTGCGTAGATCCAAATCAATTCGGACTTTTTCGATCAGACTTCTCAATCAAAAGTTATAGACTAGAAACCAATTTCGAAAGAAAAATCAAAGGGCTGTAACTTTTGAACTAGTAGCCCAATCTTGGAACTGTTTGAAGTTATGGATTCTACAGGCCACATTCTATAAGATCATTTTTTTTCTGGGTCGTTCTGAGACAATTTTTTTTCGGGCCTCAAAAAAAGGCAGTGTACAACCTTCCTTTTTTACCAAAAATCGACTACACTAAAATTTCTCGGGAAAACACTTTTTCTAACATAAGATTTCAAATGCTATGTGGGCAGTGTTCCTCTCATCAGTAATACCACCACCAATTAATACTAATTAAAACTAATGTTACGTTACTGGTTGCAGAGACCTAAATCTAAATTTCAAAGATGACTTTCCATAACAAGCTATACACAAGTGATAAAAGACGCATGCGCACGCCTGAACTTTGGCATAACCACCAAATCCTATTACTGGCGGCAAGTCCACCCAAAACTGACAAAATCTTTTGCTATCCCAGCCAATTTATAATTGATTGGGTGTGCGTGTGTGTCCATGGCACTGATCATGTCTAAGGAGTGAGAAAACAATTTACTTGAAAAGGAGCAGATCAATATTTTGGATTCGAATTTTAAATCTAATACTGGGTTTTTTCCTTGTTGGTGCCTTTTTGTCAAACACAACAAACAGGGATCCGAAAAGTCTAGCCTGCCGAAATTAAACAATTAATCCGCCACTGCAAAATTGCAACCTGCTTACCCGCCGATCGTTGAATGGATGATAACTACTGTGTCTCATACAGACTCGTCGAGTATCCTCATTGCCACACGAACAATGTGTCAAACTACTGTATGAACGACTTACCTTCGAACCACTCGGGATGATCCTCTCTAGTGGAACGGAGGGTTTTATTCGTGTCGATTCCCTTTAGCACCTCCGCCAACTTGAACACTTTATTCTTCATTTTCTCGGTGAAGAACTCCTGCACCTTCTCGCCGGCGCTTAGGTACTCGTCGTTCACTTCGCGGATCGCCTTGTAGAGAATTTCGGCGTCGGTCTCCGCTCGTTCGCCCTCCTTGACCCAAATCAGCAGAGATTGCGCCTGCAACGTTTCGAAGTAATCGTCGCCGTCGATTACTGTACCGTCCGCCGTTTGGAACGTGATCTTCTGTTCGGACAGCTTAAATTTGTCCACGGTCTTCTTTTTGAGATCCTCGAGACTTTTCGCGGCGATGCCGACGCGGGTCTTTCTTTCGGAATCGGTCACTTTAAATCCCTTCACCGTGCCCATCTGAAAGGAATTAATCGAGTCAATAAACAAAGGAGTCCTACTCACCCTCGGTGTTTTGTTTCACAGCCTTCTAAGATTAGGTAGAAATTAGTTCAGCCTTCGCGTTTCAATTGCAAATGCACCCTTAAAGTGTGCCTCGCTAAAACATACCCCTTGCGAGTGTAAACTGGGCCAATGTCATCCTGTGCCCTAGTTTAGGCGCACATGCGTTTTCCAGCAAATGTGTCAAGTTCACGTAATTGATTTCGATATTTTACGTCAAGTGGGCTGTAAAAATCGAGTGAGATGATCAATTTAAATAACGTTTTGATTATTACATTAAACAAAATGTAAACAAAGGCAGCATGGCTTTTTGTTTACCAAAACATACCACAAACATATGCTTTACACGCTCGCCAACTTAAGGTCATTGTCAAAGTTACTTTCATTTAAATGTTAAATACCAAAGCACCCCTGGTAAATAAATAAATCAATACACATTTTGCGTAGGCTCAAAGGGCAGATTCGTTCGAGGGTACCCTAAGCTTGATGTGTGATAGGGAAATCCAAGGGTTTCCCCCGTTTGCAATACATTTACCAACAACTTAAATGTCTTAATCGATTTATAGATTAAAATTTAAACAAACTAAACAAATAGGTATAGCAAACGAACTCCTGGGTACGGCTAAGGCATTTACAGCGCCCTAGGTACGGCTATAGCTTGGCATGGGATAAGAACTAAGTATGTTATCTCTCGTGATGAGGCCTAAGGGATTGGCATTGGGTATCTTTTGCTTTTTGACGTAATTTAATTGCTTGCTCATCACATTGGGCTGCTTTTGTTGCTTCCATGTCTCCATGAATTGGTGACGATGCATCTACATCTATCTATTCACAGGGGGGCCCGACCAAGCAGCACTTAGGCACACCAAAGGCCCATTGTGCGTACCCCATTTCTTTCGCAACTAGGTTCGCAGTGCCCGTTCCTCTCAAAAAAGGATAGGACCCCGTTTAGCCTAAGTTGCTTCGCTCTCCCCGGTTCCAGATAACTGTCTCCAAGGATGTCTGTCTCTGGATCCATGTGACAAACCACATAATCGATATAGTTTCATCTGCTTCGCCACAGAACCTGCACGTGGGCTCCTCCACAAACCCAATGTTATGCATATGATAGTTGACCATCCATTGCTCTGCTCCGTGAGGACACTGGTGATTTTCCTAATCTAGATTTTATTCAGTTATAGAAGCTTAAGACCCAGATTTGCCAAAGAGTTCTGTTAAAAAGGCCCTGGACTGTCTGCAGTTGCTTGTTCCCACTGAGGCTGGAATTGACTGGTTACCTAGTCTTTATTCCTGACGTTGAGCAATTCCTAGGGTAAGCTAGGACTCGTTGAAGACCCCACCACTGCCTTCACAAGCCAGCTAGCTCGTCCGCCCTTTCATTGCCCCCTGTTCCTCCAGCGATCGGCCTCTGGTTCGGATTTATCCCCCTTGTTTATTCTTCCTCTCAATTGATGCATTCCAAAGCACCGATCCTACAGCAAATTGATAATCATTCTTTCGCTGATAGTGGTAATTAGAACAGCTCAGATTGACAACTCTGAATTGGGCAAAGTAATGAGTTAAACAGAGCTTAAATATTCGTAGCTTTATGCTTTGATAAGGAGGGACAATAAATAAATAAGGAATGCAAAAAATACAAAATGAAATTGCATTTGATCTTCTTTTTGAATAATTTGAATAAATGTTGAATAACTTCTGGTTCCGACATCTACCATTGGACAACGAAAGCACATACTTTTCAGGACTATTAAGTACAGGAAACTACATTACAACTAGGTTCTAGTTAATGTTCACTGGCACAGAGGCCGCGACGTGCACAAATGATTTTAAACATTTATTATCTTCGTACCTTTCATTTCATATTCTCCTAATAGCGTGGCTTGAAATTTCATATTTTATATATAAAAAACCCTACGTTTTTCGGACGGCGGTATGACAGGTTGCCTATACATCAGTGTGTTCTCGACATCCATAATTTTGCATGCAAAAAGTCATTGAAAACGGGCGTAACAACAGTTTTTTTTTATATACAGAACATGAAATCTCAAACCGGGGTATTAGGAGAATATGAAAGCTAAGGTACGATTGCAATCAATTCTGAATTAGTATTTCAGTTAGCGACCTCTGTGCTATAAACGTTAACTAGTAACAGGTAATAATGCAGTTCCCTGCCCTTAATAGTGACATATAAGTATATAATTCCATTGACTAACGTTAGATGTCTGGAAAGATTATTATTCAAAAAAAAGGCCCAGTGCAATTTAATTTTGCATTCCTAAACAAAGCAGTAAACTAATATTTTAAGCACTGTTTGGCATCAATGTCAATTTAGTTACAACTTTACCATTTTTTGCGTGTGCCTTTAGTCGATTAGCAAGATACACACTGATGTATAGGCAACTTGTCATACAACCTTCCGAAAAACGTTAAGGTTTTTTTATATATAAAATATGCCGTGCCATGTCGAGGTACCAGGATAACATGAATCAATAGAACACATCTCGTATAAATGTAAAGCATCCGATTTAAATAACAAATGTCAGAATGTGTAAAAATGAGGTTAAGTTTTCAAGTACACAAAATCCCGCTAAATTTCCTCACCACGAAATATTTCTTATTTTCAGAAAATGGGTCGTGGAGCCTTTATCGTCGTCGAAGGAATAGACAGATGCGGCAAAACCTCCCAGACTATCAAACTTGTGGAATCCCTACGGAAGAAGAACATTCGAGTGGAACGAATGAACTTTCCAGATCGTACAACCCAAACAGGCCAGGTGATTTCCCACTATTTAAGCGATGAAACCTGTAAATTGAACGACGAAACTATCCATCTGCTCTTCAGTGCGAATCGTTGGGAGAACATCGATCGAATGAAGGAGAAATTGAGCAATGGCGTCTCGCTGATTGTCGATCGGTACTCGTACTCCGGTGTTGCCTTTTCCACAGCTAAAGGTAGTTTGATATTGTGTAGCCAGTGCTAGAACATTGTCATTGTAGGAATGTCGATGAAGTGGTGCATGCAGCCCGAAATCGGCCTGTTAAAACCCGACCTGGTCCTGTTTTTGCACATTAATCCTGAAACTCAGTCAAGTCGGCTAGGTTTTGGAAACGAACGCTATGAAAACACTAAAATGCAGCAAACTGTCTCAAAGATTTACGACCATTTTGGAAAGACAGAGGATAATTGGAAGGTCATCAGTGCCAATGGTAGTTTCGAGGAAGTACATGCGGATCTGTTGTCTAATATTGAGGAGCAAATCAGAAATGTGGTTGCCGATAATATTCCCTTTAAGTACTTTGTTGATTGCGGAAATGTACTAAATGGATGTTCAAATGGGCATTCGTAGTAATTTTAATGATTTAGGTTTAAGATTAATTTAAATTTTTATTCTGTTATAAGAATTACGATACCATAGTATTTCTAGAAGGCTAGAGCCCAATGTGAATGTTTTGTAAAAAAAAGTTGAAAATTATAATTTAATTTCGGATGTTTGTGCTTAAGATTTGGATGGTTGGGTGCTTTCTTAGACGCCACCTAAAACTTTGGCGCCAACATTTTGTTAGGCTCCACCTTTTTTTCTTAAACGTCACTGTCATTGTTAGGCGCCACTTAAAAAACTACATGACGCCAACTGAAATTCGTTGGCGCCATCATATTCTGTTAGACGCCACCTTGCTTTCTTAGGCACCACCCTAGTACTACTTTGCCACCTTGGTTTCTTAGCGTTTTTGGGCGCTGTTTAAAATTCCTTGGCGCCATCATATTTTGTTAAGCGCTACCCTGTCTTTTTAGGCGCCACTCTGCTTTCTTACTCGTCACCTGAAACTACGTGGCCCTTCATAAAATTTCTTGGCATCATCACATTCTGTTAGCGCCAACTTGATTTCTTAGGCGTTACCGCATGCTTCCTTGGTCACCATTTAATATTTCCTGGCCCCATCATATTCTGTTAGGCACCACCCTGCTTTCTTAAGCAACACCCTGCTGCGCCACCTAAAATTTATTGTTAAGACCTTCTGCAGGGGCATCTCTAAAATAGCATTATGAAATGTAATTGAGCGTATAAACCTGTTGACGGCCTAGAACAAAAAGAGAGAAAATAAATATGCCAGGCGCCGCCGCCACCCTGCCATTTTATGCGTCTCCCTGCTTTCTTAGACGCCACCTAAAACTACTTTTAGCGATACCTGAAATATCTTGCTGGGTTAGGCAAAAAAATCCAAATTCTCACTTTTATTCATTACTCCCATTCATTTTACCATTGTTATCAAGGGCATTAAGGCGATATTTATGCCGAGGACGACAGAGGCCAAAGGCTTCTGGCCCGAGGCATTGTAGTCGCCCTAGGGTTAAATATCGAGCCTGATATTCGTACAAAATTTTATTTATTAACGTTGAAACCCTTAAAAACCGAAAAAAAAAGTAGAACCGAATCCGGAACCGGTACCGGAACCTTTAAAAAATAGTTCCATATAAATAGTGGGGGACCGAAACCTATATTTCATATGGGTTCCAATCCCTATTTCTTAGACACCTCCCAAAGTTACTTGGTGCCATATGAAATTTCTTGGCGCCAGCTTAGGCGCTACCTAAAACAACTTGAGATCACCCTAAATTTCTTGACGCTATCATATTCTGTTAGGCGCCGGTTGTTTCATTAACGCCGGAAACACATTCACCTAAGGTTGACCCTACCTTCTTCAAAATGCGAATTAATTAAAAACTTCTTTTTAGACTATGCACCAATTACGGTGGTAGTCAAAATACAATATAAATTGTTACTATACTGGGCAACACTCTGGCCATATCGTGGGTTGATTGCACAAATCTTCCCGGGACGACTTCCACATTGGCACAGATAAAATTTGGGTATTTTATCTGTGACATTGGCCACCTAGATCAACTTTTTAAGGTTTGAAGTTATTAAAGTTGACAATTCGTTTTAAAACACCTTGTAGAAGGGCGCACAAGATTTAAATCATTGTCACGCAGCGTCAAGTTAGTACTGCCAGTTTGGCCACTTGAAGTGCATTTCTTTTTGAGTCTATTTATCTGTTTAACTTCATTCAGTATTGTCAATTTTAGAATACTTTTTGAAATTCAAGGCAACGGCTCAGAAATTTTCAAAAATCTTGAATAACTTGAAAACCTTTGATGCTGGGTATAGGAAATGTGGTATCAAACAACGTAGATTTTGAAAATGTACTAAAATACAGGGTGTTGTATTTTTGAACGGATTTGGCATGGAGTCATTTAGCGTCACTTTTTATTTTTCACCACCGGTTTTTGTAATAAATCCCAGGGGTGCGCTAGGTAGTGTCAAAAGCAATCTCAAAAACACAATTTATTAAAAAGACATAAAAACCTAAGCGTTAAGTTCTCTTTGTATTTCTTCCAACGTTTTATCCTTAGTTTCGGGGATGCAAAATTTTATAAACACAATGCACGCGACCATACAAACGGCAAAAAAGTAAAACGTGTAATGAGGCCCCAAACTTGTTGCTGCAACTGGAAAAATTTTTCCAACTATAAATAGGCATAACCAACACACTGATATCGTAATCCCATTCGCTAAACCTTTAATTTCCTCTGAAAACAGCTCACCGCAAATCATCCACAACACTGGCCCCAAACCAACCGCATAACTCAGAGAAAATGCCGCAAAGCTCACCACGGGAACTGCATTAAAACCAGGCAAGCTGACGTTATTCGTTTCCATGTGAAAATAAGCACCTAAAAGCGCCAAAGACAATCCGGAGCCGATAGTCGAGATGAACAGCAGCAGTCTTCTACGTACCCTTTCTACTATGAAAACAGCAACCCCTGACGCACACATTTGAACTGCAGCTATCACTATACCTGAAGTATACGCATCTATATCACTATCGCTCATCTCAAAGATCGGGACCGAGTAAAGGACGAAAGTGTCAACCCCAGATAATTGCTGAAAGATTGAGAGGCCAATGCAAGCGATGAAACCACGCGTGGTCCCTTTACTGTACAGAGATTTCCCAATACCAAGATGTTTTCTAGATGTCTTCCCTATGTCTCCTCGTGCGTCCCTTAAGAGATTATCCGCGTGAATATTACAGCCTCTGTAAAATTTAAAAACCATTTCAGCATCCGATTGTTTGCCCAAACTCATTAAATAGGTCGGACTTTCCGGTAAAAAGACGACAATAATGACGGTAGTTAACGTCAATATACCTACAATTAAATTTAATACAAAGTACTTCACATAAGCGCCACAAACGGTCACAAGAAATACGCCGAGGTAAATCATCAGTTCGAAGAATGACCCCAGCGTCCCTCTCTGCTCTACGTCCGATATTTCGGAAATGTACATGGGTCCAACAACGGACACTCCGCCGATCGTAACGCCGGCGAGAAATCGAGCAACGCACAGCCAGTAGAAGTTCGACGTGAGGAACATGATCACCGTGGCGATCAGCGTCGTCACGGCCGAGGCTATGGTGCAGCTCTTGACGCCGAAACGGTCCGCGAGGTAACCGGAGGGAATGGCCGTGATAAAAACACCAATCGCTAACATCGCTCCAATCCACGAGCTTTCATTGACCGTAAGACCCAGACTTTCCAGTCTGGGCAAAACTGGAGAACTCCACCCCATATCTGCTCCATACGTTAGTGGACCCAGGCATGCTGAAAGGAAGAGTTAGTCGAGCTTTCACGCCTTTCACGTACCGGTAGCAAAAAACTGTCGAAAAATTCCAATAGATTTGCTGCTTATTCCTTTGGGAGTCATGTTTGGCAGCCTGGAAAAACTTTTGTTATTCGGCCACTTAACGCAATTTATTTGTAAACACCTTTACGCGAAATGTAAATTTGCTTTTCGGCGATACTAATTGGGAATGTAGGAATTTTTAAGACGAAGGAAATCGATAAGATAGTAGGTATCGGCAATCCATGGGGCGGAAATCCGACTACTTACTCTCATAAATATAACCCACTTTCACGCGGCTATAAGCACGTTCTGAATCTTCAGAAACGTATTTTAAGGCTTTCCCAATCTACAAAGGGGAGAGGCTTCAGTAAGGAAAATGCGCAGATGTGCAGACCACGTTTTTAGATAGAACATCTCCAAAAATTTCAGCGAAAACATAATAATAATACTCCTGTGGGTTCGGGGGTAGAATTGGCCCATCATGGGTAGAAGAGGTGAAGAGTCCAACCACCTCCCTTTCACACCTATGAAAAGCTTCCCGTCCCTCAACTTACCATCCTCGCCCCCCCCCCCCCCCCCCCCCCCCCGTCTCTTTATCCCGAAATCCTAAGCGTCCTGAGGGGATGCAGTGATGCGTAAGTGAGACACTAACGCCGGTTAATTCTCCTTAAGAGTCGTGTGGTCCCTGCAATACCCCAGGTGGGTAGCGGGTTTGAACCTGACTCCCACCCCGGATTGTCGGGCCGCTCCCAGGGGGACAACATATCCGTTGTCTAAGGCTACCGGTGGTGATAACCGCGCCGGAAACCCTGCGGATGATTATGGATTCTACAGGCCACATTCTATAAGAAAATTTTTTTCCGGGTCGATCTGAGACAATTTTTTTTTCGCGGCTCAAAAAAAACCTTCCTTTTTTACCAAAAATCGACTGCACCAAAATTTCTCGGGAAAACACATTTTCTTATTAATTTTGGTGCGTAGAATCCAAAACAATTCGTACTTTTTCGATCAAACTTCTCAATCAAAAGTTATGGACTAGAAACCAATTTCGAAAGACAATTCAAAGGGCTGTAACTTTTGAACTAGTAGCCCAATCTTGGAACTGTTTGAAATTATGGATTCTACAGGCCACATTCTATAAGAAAATTTTTTTTCCGGGTCGATCTGAGACAATTTTTTTGCGAGCCTCAAAAAAAGGCAGTGTATAACCTTCCTTTTTTACCAAAAATCGACTGCACCAAAATTTCTCGGGAAAACACTTTTTCTTATTAATTTTGGTGCGTAGAATCAAAAATAATTCGTACTTTTTCGATCAGACTTCTCAATCAAAAGTTATGGACTAGAAACCAATTTCGAAAGAAAATTCAAAGGGCTGTAACTTTACGCATTTTACAGTATTGCATTTTTACATTGTTTTTGTAATCAGTAAATCCTTATCGCACCATAATACCGAGACTCGACAGGAAAACAAAGTTCGTTTACACGCCACTCGATCAGGGGCGGATTTGGGCATTAGTGTAATTTATTTTTAATTAATTGCGTACAGCTCATAATTTGCAACCATAATCTTCCCATAATTCTTCTCAAAATTTTGGACGAATGCATTTTCTGAATCATTCGTGTTCTATGTCTCATTTTCAGTTTTCCCCTCACTGACCAATTGGTTCACTCAACCTGGAGGCTCTCTCTCACTAATCCCTACACCCAACCCAGTACCTCCTGCTTTTGATGCAAATTTTGAATGAGAGCGGTTTTGGTTTTGAACCGTGGGACAGTGCAAGGATCAAAAGTGAAACCAAACGCCTAAATTAATAATGAAAGTATGTTCTATGTATAGACGGTACCTTGATATTGACGAATAGTTTTAAATCTCGCCAGAGAGAGCGGATGCAAGTTTCGCGCAACGAGAGATTCAAAACGCATCGAAATTTCACGCGAATCGCACCGACAAGGTGTAGGTAATGCATTTTACGCGAATTAGTACATTTTATGAACGCTCCGATGATAAAAAGAAGAGATTTTCACGACGCCGAGATCCCTCCCCCTTTTCTCACTAAGTAATTATCAGGTATTACTTTTGCTTACCTTCTGATGTATAATCTCTACGCGAGATTTAAACGGTACGTTATCAGCGTCTCGGTATTTTCGCGGATTAATTGCGCTGAAAAACTGTGAAAATGGAAAGTTTTAATCGAGCCGTTAACATATTCTGGTAAGTCTTTTCTTGGCGTCTTAATTAAGTCTTCGTACGTGTCGAAAATTACATGTATTTTACGTCCATAGGATAGATAGAAAATGTAAATATTTACGCTCGCTACGCTAACGTTAACGATCTTGTTAACAGTTAAAGCTACCGTATAATGAGTCTATAAACTAATGCATTTCACGCCTGAGGTTTCGTATTTAGTAATAAATTTGAGAAAAAAGAAGTAGCCGTTATGTAAGCTATTAACAATTACTTATTAGGAAGGCTAACTGCGATACTGCAAATATTTGCATAATGTTTGTTTATCATTTACATAATTTGTTTTTTTTATTAACCCATCACGTTTCCTAATTTTATTGTTGGGATGCGTCAATTCAAAAATAAAATTGGGATAAGTAATTCGAAACTGCATTGGCCAAATCTCTGCCACATTTCAGAAATGTGTGTCATGATATTTTCTAAGATTTGTTATATTTCGGATGTAAATTTTCGGTCCATTGCCTCCCCCTGCATCCACACATAGCCGGTCCCCTTCTTCAAATCATCAATCCATTTACTTTTTCCTCTTCCTCCACCTTCCATCTTCACCAATTCCTCCAACACTCCATTTTTCTTTGCATTTTTAATATTATTTTGCTTCTTCTCCTGCTCTTCTTAATACTTCCTCCCTTCCAGAGCTGGGCAGAATACTTTCAAAAAGTATTTGAATACTAAATACTTTTACGTCCAGCACAAGCGAATACTAGATACAGATACATTGAAAAGTATTCAAATACTTAAAAAAATAAGTATTCAAATACTTTAGAATGTATTCGAATACTTTCAAAAGTATTCTAATACCAAAGAGTATTATGGTTACTCTTTGCTAATACTATCAAAGGTATTCGAATACTATAAAAAGTACTCGAATACTTTGAAAAGTATTTCATTATCTTACTTTGAAAAGTATTCGAATACAGCAAAAAGTATTCAAATACTTTTCATTCAAATACCTTAAAAATTTAAAATAGTATACTAGATAAAAAATCAAGTTATACTTTGTATGGGGTTAGCTTTTTTTATATTTCTATTGTTATATACAAATTTAAGGAGAGTAAAAGCGTATTATTATTATTAAATTATTATATTGGAGGTACCTACCAGGACCTTTCTTATACCAGTTATATCCTTAAGAATACGTGTACCAGTTTTCAAAGCGATCGTACGTCGTGCACATGATACGTACGCCTTTCTGAAATTAATCCTATCGATTTTGGAACAGATCCTTTATTGACCATCCGTTTGTCCTTGTGCATGATAGTTTGTTTAGAAACGTGCGATCGCTTTGAAAATTGGTGCACATGGTCTTAAGGATAAAAAAAAGGTCCCTATTGTTTTTAAAAACTTTCCCTAAACATTTCTAAATTGTTCTCAAATATTTGAATAACTTAAAAGTACTGCCTTTTTTTGAGACCGGAAAAAAAATTGTCTGTGATCAACCGGGAAAAACAATTTCTTATAGAATTTGGCCCGTAGAATCCATAATTTCAAACAATTCCAAGATTGGGCTACTAGTTCAAAAGTTACAGCCCTTTGAATTTTCTTTCGAAATTGGTTTCTAGTCTATACCTTTTGATTGAGAAGTCTGATCGAAAAAGTACGAATTGTTTTGGATTCTACGCCCCAAAATTAATAAGAAAAAGTGCTTTCCCGAGAAATTTTGGTGTAGTCGATTTTTTGTAAAAAAAGGAAGGTTATACAGTGCCTTTTTTTGAGGCTCGCAAAAAAATTGTCTCAGATCCATCCGAAAAATTTTTTTATATAGACTGTGGCCTGCAGAATCCATAATTTCAAACAGTTCCAAGATTGGGCTACTAGTTCAAAAGTTACAGCCCTTTGAATTTTCTTTCGAAAACGTCCATCCCTCACACCCATATCACAGAACACTCCAAACTAAATATTTCACCAGCCTTTTTCTCAATTCTAATTCTAATATCACTGTTTAAGCACCTCGCTCTTTCTCATATACGCTGTCTTGGCCATTGCAATTCTTATAATTATTTATTTTCTACCCGACCAATCGTCTGATACTGCGGTGTCTAAGTATTTACTTGTTCCAACTTCTCTCCCTTTACCCTTACATCCATTACTTCTTCTGCTCCAACCTTAATTGCCTTCGACTTTTATTAAATAAAGTTGGTGATGGACAACATCCCTGCCTAACTCTTCTTCCTATTCCAAACCATTGAGTCAAGTTATCACCCTCCTTCAGTGCAACCTCTCTGCTTCGTGTATAAGTTGCTAATCAACCTTTCTTCTCTCCAGATGTTCAAAGAGGGACTTATCGAGTAATCAATTTTTTATACAGCGTGTCCCAAATTTGATATGTATGAAGTCTACTTTTTTTTTAAATGTCAACCCTAATTTGTTTATGAGAGTATCAGATGTGTGCCAAATTTTAAATGTTTATCTCTTTCATTTGGAAGATATTTAAGAAAAGAGGAGTTCCAAAAGGTCTTGGTCATTTCTTCTTGAACTGAAGTCAATACCTTTTGGCATTCCACTTTTGCGACCGACCGACGTAAGAAAAACCACGTAATTGTGATTGCATCGATATTATATTAGTCAAGTCGAACATGCACAAAAGAAGCATTTGCATGTCTAGCCAAAATAGCCTTGAACCACAACGTAAACAGCCAAATTTAATTATAAAGCCGAACGCTCATTTCAAATGAGTGTTCTCGGGTTCGACACATTTTCAAAAAACTTCCTTAATAATTATTGCATTACCTGTTATTTAAAAATACACAAAATATATCTACCTACGGTTTATGGACCGACCATGGGCTACTTTCGTTTTGAAAAAACTATTAAACTAAAAATTAATGTTTATTGCCGAATAAAAATGGTAATTTCGAACGAGTTTCAATTATTAAGGGAATCGGCCTATTTCGTAATTTTTAACCTTCACGAATTTTACCTTTACACTCTTTACGTTTAAATACAAATACCTCATTACAGAATTGTAGTACTTGTAATTTATTTCATTATTTACGAGCAAGCCACCACAGTACATTAATTACTAGCATTTAATCTTTTTGAAGAGGCTACCAAACATTTTATTATTGTACTTATTTTTATGTTTTCTCATCTTTGTCTATTGTTTTCATTTTTAAATAGCTTGTTTAATTGTGCTTTTTTTGGTTACTTTATTTACAAAACAGGAGACTGTGTAATTGAATGTCTTATTTCTAGACGGGCCACAAAGCTGCTTATGTACGCCTCCGGCCCCTAAGGCATATTAAAGGGTAGTGACGGAAAATAGTATATTAAGATACAAGTGTATAATCAAGTCTTTAAAGCACGCGCAACGAGTTTAATGGCACGACGCGAAGCGGAGTGACTTTAACGTTGCAAGATTATTAGATTTATAGATTATTATTGCGACAATGGTTACCATGGATTTTAAGCTTCGTTGCTAATCTTAGCCTAACTTTGTCGGTGCAAACGAAATTTAGATGAAAATGTACGTCGTTTGATACCACATTCCCCTATACCCAGAATCAAAGGTTTTCAAGTTATTCAAAAATTTTCAAAATGTTTGACGTTCGACTGCTCTTCTTTAGGTCCCTGTACCTATGACTCCGCTGACTTGAATTTCAAAAAGTCTTTGAAAATCAAAAATACTTGATGCTACATGAAAATGATCTAGATTTTGATCGCTCTTCTACAGAGTGGTTTTAAACTAATGGTCAATTTTAATAAAGATTGTTTTTTCAAATGAAATCTGCTTTATTTTTTTGCACTTTCAAATGTCGAAAAAAATTCTACATCGATCAACTATTACATTCCCTATCTAAAATCTAAAATTGTGGCCGTATTGATTTTGGAAGACTTTTTAAAATTAAAGTCAATGGAGCCATAGGTACAGGGCGCTAAAGAAAAGCAGTCAATTTTACAATTTTAAAAAATCTTGAATAACTGAAAACCTTTGATGCTGGGTATAGAAAATCGTGGAATCAAAGGACGTAGATTTTCATATTTTCATGTAGATTTCGAAAATGCAATAAAATATTGTGTATTTAAAAGAAGAAAGTTGGTACCTACATCTGTTAAAACCGGAAGTGAAGCGATCGTGATGGTATGTTGGTGTGTATATTTTCAGTTTTAAATTATTAATGGGAGTCTAAATACTTTTAGGTAACAATTTACGTGAAACAGCCTGTATACAGCGCTACAATACGCAGGAAATTTACGTGGAGATGTCCTCACACCAAAGTGGGTGATAGCTTAGTGTAATTCTATTCTTTACACTATGGTGACAGTAACGTTCGACCGGCCGCTTTTATGGCTGTTTCATAATTGAATGTCAATATTTAAGGGGGCGATTTTTGGGTCCATTTTAAAAAGAAAACTTCATATGAACCTATGTCCTAAACGTCTTAACCACTTTAGATATTTTAATGAAATTTGGCCTGTATGTACTATGTATCCAGAGGCATTTTTTAACATACCACATTTTTTTAATTTCTATCAGTGGCGTTCGTACGGAATTTCACATGCCCATTTTAGCAGACATTGATGGTACGCCACTGATTTCTCTGAAAATAAAAATTATTCTTGAAATCCCCCATCATTTCTAAGCAAATTTGATCCCTTTGTTTTTTTAAAAACCGATGCACGGTTTTCGGTTCATTTCGAGAGTCGGACACTTAACTTCCTTTCACTTGTAACAAACCAGAAAACTTTGGGGAAATTAGCAAAGCGCTGAGATTCGCTTAGTCCATTAATTTTTTTTGGATTCATAAAGAGACTCGAAATCGTGTATTAAAATCTAAAACATCTAAATGACACAGTATAAGAGTCATAGGTGAAAAGCTGTATATATTTGTATTGTAAGAGTAGTTTGCTCTTGCATAGAATTTTTCACTGCAGGTATTGCTGCTTATGCCATTATTATGGTACAATTTGAACATACTATGAATTGAAGTTTTCCAATAAGGTTTGGCGATGGAGGTGTTGGTGGAGGTTTTGTTGTTGGAACTGGTGTGGTCGGCGAAGTCGTTGTATTAGGAGCTGTTGAGGTCCTTGGCGTTGTGTAGGTCGTTCTAGTTGGAGCTGGTGTGGTCGTTGGAGGTGGAGTCGTTGTATTAGGAGCTATTGAGGTCCTTGGCGTTGTGTAGGTCGTTCTAGTTGGAGCTGGTGTTGTCGTTGTTGAAGTTATCCATGTTGATGGCGGTTCGGGTGGTACCGTAAACATTCGCCTTCGATTTTGCCATTGACAATCTGCAAGAAATGTAAAATATTACACCCCGTGAATGTACCTGCATATTTTATTGGTGGATGCACCTGACTGACAGTCTTTACGATCGCTGCACTTACCACTTATAAAAATGTGCACTAGTAATAATATTACCACTATTTTTCTGTACATTTTGTCAACGATAATCGAATAACTTTTATCAAATACTCATACACAAATCAACTATCCGAATTAATAATTCTTTGACCCTCCTGATAACTCTGTAGTGATTTACAAAGCGTGGTTCCCCTTTTTTGGATTATGCGTAGTAGAATACTATGCTTATCTCTACTGGATGAATCGTTGTAGGGGAATTCTTGACTGACTCACATAAGAATTAATCTGTAGATTGCAAATTCATTTTGATTTAAACCACAACCCATTACCTACCATCTCAAAAGTTGAGGTCTTAAACATGCCAAAACCATTAACACCTTCGGAAAATGGTTATGGTCTCTCGGTCTAAGGCGTGAATATAATAATAATAATAACGGTCTTTATTGCTTTTGTTTTAGCTAGCCACGAAAAATACACTGCCTAGGGCGAGATTCAGGAATAGATTGTTTGTGTCTTGGTTTTTGCCAGAATTTAGCAAGTAGTTTGACGATTTTGTATATCCTGTGACGTGTGCGGCAATTCGCGCCCGGACATTTCGCTCCCGGATAATTCGCACCCGGACCATTCGCACTCGAAAAATTCGCTCCCGAATAATTCACACCCGGATAATTCTGTAAATCTTTGGTTTATTAAAATTAAATATTTTTAAGAGGCTACTAGACCATTGCCTTTACAGAATGTATGTAGTAGTGCACATCTTGGTAAACATCTACTTCATGGAAAAACGTTTCAAATAATAGTACCAAATAGTTATACCTAGTTATAGTATATCTACAATATTATGTGTAATATTCCTACAATATTATGTGTAATATTCGCTACTTTTGAGACGCTCTTAATATTAAAACAGAATCAACATATAATACCGTACACAAACAAAGTGATAAGTCTAAAGTTAAAAATATTTACATTATAAGATCAAGATGAAAATAGAAAAAGGAAGTAATTTTAACGCTCCCTTACATAAAGATTTCTTAATGAAGACACATAAAAAATTGTTCTTTATTTCTTTAGTTGAAAAGGGTGACAAAGGAAATGAATTAAATTTATTTTAGACAAAACGAGTATGTATAAATGACAATAGAACAATGCATTTCATAGATGGCACTAAATTTGGATAAGTAATTAAGATAATATTATAATTAAAGGTAAATTTGAAAAGACCCCGATAACACAAATTGCACTTCATAAAGAAACAATAAGAGAAATATCGTAATGACATCCTTTCTATTATTTCTGGAAGATGAATAGGGTTTATTACAAGGTAAAAGTAATTAGGTCCGAAAAATCAGGTTTAACTACGTATGACCACAACTAATTAGAACTTTTACGCCTGTATAGTATCTTCATTCTTGAACATTTGACAGAGTGGTATTTTAAAATTCATCTGAGCACGGGTTTTGATTTTGTGTATACTTTTTTTAATTTAAAAAAATTTTATTTCTGGTGGTAGTGTTGTGGTGGTGTTCAGAAAAGGTAAGTTTCCAGTTTTCTTAGAACCAGTTTTACGTTTCTTTGACCACATATGGCTATATGTTGATTTTATTGGTGACTGAGTAAAATTACACTAACTGCTTATTTTTTTGCGGTATCTTTGCTACAACTATGGTAGTGAATGAACTTAAAAGTGTCTTTTTGATTTTCTTACTGTTATTTATTTTATAGTTTGAAGAGATACAAGGAAAAATTCTGGCATTTTTTAAAGAGATTGTTAATAATCAAAACAGTAAGGGTTTTGAAAATCTTGAAACGTTTTAGGAACAGGTCGATATTGATGATTTTTTCTTTTAAATGTTTGTAATTATTAAGTACCTATATTCTTCCTTTTTAATTTTTGTATGGCATACCTAGTACTAAAGCAAAACCCTTAGCATTGGTAATTGCGCAACAAGGAAGATAGGACATCATTGGAAAGGCTTTCCTTCTCTGAATTTGGTGAGACTATAATTTTTTAGATTTGATATTTTCGAAATATTTTAAAAGTAAGTTGAGGGCACGCTGTTGTTTATGTCATTGGAAGGATGTCGGGCCGATCACTAATGCGATCGTGCGTCAAAATTATGCAGTTGCAAGTGGTATAAAAAAGAGAAAACTTGTACCTGCAACGTCGAATGCGCTGGAAATAAAACAACTAAACCAAAAAAATTACATATCCGAATTCAGAGATGGGCGACCATTTAAGATTTGAAGGGTTGCACTGTCAGCGATGCGAGACAAAGACATTAGTGAGCAAGTTTAATTTTAGACACTGTTTCCTTCCATGATCAATTTGACGTGCCAAAGCGTTTTTTGAAAATTATTTTAATTTACAGAAATAGCTATGTATGGTTTCTAATGCACCACCGTGTATTATTTAGCTTCGGAGAAATAACACCAAAATCTCCCCATAAAAATTGTTATAATAATAAATGGGTAGATTTTGGTGTTATTTCTCCGAAGCTTCTTAAGCACCCCATTGAGTCATGGATCTTAACAATTTCAGTATATTATTTAAATAATAGCCACATAATTTATAGCAAGATCAATTTTTCACGATATTTATCAACATTTTTTGCTTTTTTCGTTACTTTACAGTTCTTTATCTCTTTAATTTTACGGAAACTCTCAAGAATCTATTTGTTTTACGTTCAAATAGGATTATAATTTACTTGAGATTCTTTTAAGACAATACATACGTTTTTCGTTATGTGTCCTTTAAATGGACGACATCGAAGGTTAGAGAACTAGGAAACTTAACTTGCAGCTATTAACAAATAATAATTGTTAAAATTTTATTTAGACTTTTATATTCCTATTGCAATATTATTTGCACGTGCTAAAAGGTTTCCAAATGAAAAAAACCTTGATTGTGAATTGGTACAATAAAACTGAGTAAATAGGTTTAAGAAATGTCAGGTGACAGTTTTGCTGATAGGCCGATACCAGCGTTTAGCAGCATCCGTCTACTTGTGAACATGATTGCATGGACAATTTACATCACGGATGAGTGTCTTTTTACCTTTTTTTTGTTTTTTTAAAAATAAATTTTCATTCATGGTACCTTTAGCAAGTGTTCTCATGTTTAATACGGAGATTACACTAAAATAAGTACTAAATTCCAGATTTTGAGTGATATGGATGCTATTAAAGTGACCTAATATCTCTACTGCCATTCCATTTAAAAAGGTACATAGGATTGTACGTATGAGTTCTTACCTCATAAATACTATTAAAAAAATTATTCCTCTACAAATTGTATGGCTATTGTTTAACCAACATAAATATTTAAGTGCCACATTAAAATGCCAAAATCAAGGAAAATATCATCAATAATGGACTTGTCCCTGAGGCTAAAAGTTGAAATTTGATTTGTTACAAAAAGTTGATAATGGATAAGTATGAGATTTAGGCGGTGCAAGCTATACGGGCGCATAACAACGAAAAGGGGAAAGAGATACATAATCTATGAAGGATACATGTACCTCTTTGCTAAGAACAACTCCAAAACTGCTCATCATGGCTGTGTCGAGCGAAAAGAGCAAAGAAGGATCCATCGGCTCTTAGTTTAACATGCAATGCCAGGATCTGGGTCAACGATGACAAGGTAAGATTAGCTAAACCGAGCACTGATTTTGGAAGTGCAGCTGGTTTCCAGTTTCAAAGCCCTTAATTGGGTATTTTATTAGTTAGGATATCGTCTTTTAACCTTTTGACTTTTTTATACGTAAGTTTCATCGTTGCTTATACCGTCGTCTAATGTTAGTTTTTAGGTTCGGCCCTCCCTTGCAAAAAATTTAGTTTATCAACCTCTTCAAATTTCAATTTTACTCTGGAACCAACCACGGATATGGTCGTTGGGCTTTCCAGTTTTACTGCCCTTTTGGGTTTTTAATTGTTTTCCATCTATTGTAAGTTTTATAGCTATAGTCTCTCCTCAATGATCTCTACCATCTTGTAGATCACCTGAAGATGACCGTTGGTCGGAACATGTAGTGTATCACTTCGTTTTATTAAATTATATGGGAACGGTTTAGAGAACTTTTATTCAATATTAATAAATTATCCGGATTATCCCATTTAGAGTTTGAACACAAAATGGACGTCACGATTCCAAATTATACCTTAATATTGAAAGTATCCAAATTTTAAATATAGGTGTACGTCTATTACATGCACAAAGTAATAAAACGTGGTATTGGTGAGTAATATTGGAGATTTCAAGCTCTGAGCTAATTTAATACTTCATAGCCGACTTTCTATGTTAAAAGTCAACCTTACACAAAATACCCTCTCAGGGGAGCGAAATTCTGGTGCGAATTATTCCGGTGCGAATTATCCGGGTGCGAATTGTCTGGGAGCGAAACGTCCGGGTGCGAAATATCTTTGGTGCGAATTTTGCTTGGTGCGAAATGTCCGGGTGCGAAATGTCCGGGTGCGAATTGTCCTACAACCAATCCCGTTACATCAATTTAGATCTCTGTAGTTATATTAAAATTGTTAAAGACCAACTAAAAACGGAGCAAATGCTTAACAGATGATGCGACACCTGTTCAAAAAACCATTACCGTTTAACACCCAAGAAAATTATTTTTGGCACGCTCGGTAATTTGTATACGAACTCACTTGTTGAGAGCAATATTCAAACGGGAACATTTAATTTAACGCAAATCCTCGTTAATCAACTCTTGCGCTAAAGCTAAGGTAATTTATAAATGTTATTTGGGCACGCAAAATTTGCCCCAATTTCGTTCGCAACTATGCCAAATATTTTAAAATTACAGCGTTCTCGAACGTTACCAAACTAGAAAATCGTTTAGAATAATAAAAGGAACAAGGTTAATCGTCATTTTTACATTAAATAAAAGGAAAAAGTTGCACACGTGTTGCAATGATCTAGTTACATGAAGATGGTTATTTCAACAGAATTTTTCTTGACAAATCGCGCGGCGGTTTCAGATTTTTTTCTTTTCTTCGTAATTGTGCAAACATTTCGCCGAATGTTTATAAAGTAGGATATCTCTGTAAAAATCGATGCTTTCCCGTCGTTCTTTATTTTTTCCAGTCAAGTGGTTGCGAAGGTGGACGGTTTACAAATTCGTTTTGTCGCATATATACGGCTTATATATTATTCATTACCTATATCGGAACATAACGTATGTAAACTATTCGGTTTCTTAATCATGCCATGTGCAAGCATTAGCATAAGAGTACTTTTAATTAAGCTGATCATTTTTATCGCAAAAACGGTTACAGCAACTCAATGACCTAAATACTGAAAGATTTTGAAAATTGACAAATTGTCAGGTGGTCATGGTGGCGTCCGGTGTACCCGACCACGAAAATCATACATAGACATAGACACCTGTAACGTAATTCTTTTGAATTGACTCCAGAAGCGTAAGCAATCCTCGAGATCACCTCTGAATTTTTTAAATTCAATTTTAGAGTATTTCAAATTAGATTTTGACTTTTTGGACTCCGATTTCACATTTAATAAGAAAAAGTGTTTTCCCGAGAAATTTTGGTGCAGTCAATTTTTGGTAAAAAAGGAAGGTTATACACTGCCTTTTTTTGAGGTTCGAAAAAAAAATTGTCTCAGATCGACACGAAAAAAATTTTTCTTATAGAATGTGGCCTGTAGAATCCATAATTTCAGACAGTTCCAAGATTGGGCTACTAGTTCAAAAGTTACAGCCCTTTGAATTTTATTTCGAAATAGGTTTAGAGTCTATAACCTTTGATTGAGAAGTCTGATCGAAAAAGTACGAATTGTTTTGGATTCTACGCACCAAAATTCATAAGAAAAAGTGCTTTCCCGAGAAATTTTGGTACAGTCGATTTTTGGTTAAAAAGGAAGGTTATACATGCCTTTTTTTGAGGCCCGAAAAAAAAATTGTCTCAGATCGACCCGGAAAAAAATTTTCTTATAGTATGTGGCCTGTAGAATCCATAATTTCAAAGAGTTCCAAGATTGGGTACTAGTTCAAAAGTTACAGCCCTTTGAATTTTATTTCGAAATTGGTTTAGAGTATAACTTTTGATTGAGCAGTCTGATCGAAAAAGTAGGAATTGTTTTGGATTCTACGCACCAAAATAACAAGAAAAAGTGTTTTCCCAAGAAAGTTTGGTGCCTTTTTTTGAGGCCAGAAAAAAAAAATTGTCTCAGATCGACTGGGAAAAATCGAAAAAGTACGAATTGTTTTGGATTCTACGCACCAAAATTAAATTAGGTATTAATACTTACCATCATTAACAGTGAAATTATCAATCTTACATTTGATTAGTTAGTTAGTCATCTGTTTCAGAATCAATCTCCTCAGCACACTAAAATTACCTTGATTGAAGCTAACATCAGGACTGGAACTTTCCAAGGATTTCTAAAGGATTCATTCGAGTTTTTGACTGTCAGAGTGATCGATATGTAGTCTGATAAGGATAGTATTTAATTTAATTCGGGTGTTAATCTCGATAAAGCTGCTGGTATCGCAGGTTTCGTAGTAAAATTTGGAAAAGATCCTCGTTTGGAAAGCCGTTGCTACTGGTACGGGATCCCAGATTCCATTTTTAGACGATCGCCACGATCGGTGTTTTTGGAACGTAAAATACACACGCGAGTTCTGATAATTTGAATGATAGTTGACGGCCTATTAAACAGGTCGCCCCCTTACTGTGCTGCAAATTCCTCTGTAAGAAGGTTACCTCTTTCATCTTGATGTGCCCCTTTCCTAGTGATGTAGAGCAGCTAAGATCTTTCTAGACCTCTGAGGGCGCCGGTAGTAATCTCGTGAAAGTTAATTCACTCAATAAATAAAATATCCCTTTATCGTCTTATATTACCTTATGTTACTATTTCCTTAACAGATTTGGTACCTTGATTATAATTTTGGTTATCCCATTTTAATTTAAAATTCAAAATTTTACAAATCCACGCTTCATCAGTTTTCTTTCTGGGTTTGGCCACCAGAAACGCACACGAAATTTTACTGCTTCCGCAAAAGTCCTTTAATAATTTCTGCATCTGATGGAAATCAATACAATTGTGCAAACGCCTTCTAAAGTTGCATTAGATTAAGTAAGATCATGGTATTGATTGCGTGTACTACAACCTACCAATTACACAAATGTATTACCATATAATTACATAAAATATGCAATTCGCCAGGTCACGAATCCATAAATTAAGCGTGGATATAAATTGAATGATTCATCCATCGGCTGCCGTCGAACTTTTACCTTGGCCACGGTGAAGGTAGTGCAATTTACATCCTGACCTACATCTTTATAAATTGTAAGGTAGGCTTCTGATTTACGACTTAATTACAGGTTTTTTTTGATGATGATGCAACAATGCAGCCCGTGCCGTCCGTCATCGGGCTGTCAACATTTTCCAAACACGAACACATACTCGTGCTCCGGGCGAATTTGGAAGGAGAACCATTTCGACAACCTCACCAGTGACGACATGATGAAAATGAGAACCCTGGAGATGTGCAACGTGAACAAGGAAACGTTAAATCTCCACAAGATCAATACCAAATTCCCATATTTGAGGAACATTACAATTTGGCAAGGAAATATTTCGTCGATAACCAACTCGGTTTTGCCCCAAAATCAGATCAAGGTAAGAACATGCGTTTGTAATAACCATTAAGGTATAGTGGTTATTGCATCTAAATAAAGGCTAATTAGTGATCTCGAAGACATTTACGCACCACAAATAGAAAATGAAAGTTATGCACTTAATTTGGTTGGCCTTTTAACTGGTTAATTGGACCAATTCTTAAGTGATATAAATCATTTGGATATACTTAATTCGCATTAAAATAAATAGCACTTTTTGGACATCATCATCATTAGTTTTTTGTTAATGCCCATATCTTCAGGTCGTCATCAAATTTCCTTCTTAATCTTTTCCTTTCTTCCTGAACACTTTTGCGGATTACTTCCTTCTTAATTTAGTTCATTTTTCTGCGCTCACTGCATAAATCCTCCACTTTTGCTATTAAATGCTAGTTTTGACATCGCAATCATGGTGTTAATTTCTCTTTCGCCTTTCCAACCTTGTGTTATCTCTGTACATAAATACTTTTATCTTTCCACTTTGCTCTATCCTCACCCCGACCATTAGGTAGTGTTATATCGTCCAGATTTATCCAAAAAGTTGTATTAAATTTTTCCTGTGCTCATGTACACTGTTGCTTTCCTGCTATAAAGTAAACCTCAAGAAAGCGTTTATATAAATTTAGTTTTATTGCTTGCTTTCGTAATTTATTACTTTGTAGTTTATTTTTGTAGTTTCTATACGCTACGTTATTTAGTCATATTTTTATGATCTGAAAGTCATATTAAACATCTATTTTGGTGCAAATGGTTAATTTAAATGACGCAACAAACTCCAATATACACTAAATTCTTTATTATTTCAGGTGCTACAACTACGAGATTTAAAAATCGAGTTGATACCTACAAAATTCCTAGTTTGGTTAACAAAGTTGGAGGTACTCGATTTGAGTGGAAATAGTTTACAGAGGTTGGATGAGAAAGTCGTTCGGGATATTAATCGAATTTCATTTACAAATTTATCAAGTAAGATAACACTATTGCTTAACTGCACCTATTTGGAGACGTTATTCAGATAACCACTGGAATTGCTCATTAAACATGGACTGGGTAGAACAGCTAAAAACCACGTCGATTTATGGCGTGGACAATATGACCTGCTACCAGCCACCATACCAAGGCAAACCGATCATTCCTATCGCCGAATTCAAGAAGGTAAGTTCGCGAAATGTTTCTGTTTTTCACTCAACGGCATTGTAGAATGTTCGCACTATGTGTCCCGAACGATGTAGCTGCACAATGTCCGATGTCGTTCGTGATCCTCATAATTTTGAGCTGGAACCTATCATCGAAGTAAATTGTTCGAATAAAAATTTCCTCGAATTTCCCCCGACACTACCAAACAAAACCAAGACACTCGCGCTGGATAAAAACCAAATACGTAGCTTAATGCCACTGGTAACCAACCCCCTTTATAAGGACGTGCAAGATTTAGACCTAGACAACAACTTCATTGACAGCATCGAAGATCTCGAGGGTTCCTACTGGTTTTCACATTTTCGCGTGTTATCCTTGAGGAATAACCAGCTAGTGCAGGTGGGAAATCCAACGCGACTTTTTTAGTAATCTGTGCTTTAGGTACCCACGTATGCACTGGACAACGCGCTGCAACAGAATCCTAACATGCCCGAAGCGGTACGACTGTTCCTGGGCGAAAATCCATGGAAATGCGACTGCTCATTCATTCCATCATTTCAAGACCTGCTCAGAAAGTACCAATCTCAAGTGGAGGACATTGCGGATGTCAAATGTTCTCCACCGGAGAGCGATAAAAAGTCGCCAGCGATGGTAAACTTTGAAAAAGGTGTTGGTGATAAACTCTGTGTCTTTACAGATTATAACCCTATCGAGAAGTGCGGTCTGTCGCTTACCCAACGATTATGCGGTTAACGCCCTCGATATGGTCAATGGGATTCTGGCGAGCCTCATTATATTAATTTTAGGCAAGCTGGCCTACGATTATTACCATTTTAAGCGAACCGGTAGACTTCCATGGATTGTTACCAAAATTCCTTAACGAAATGTTTATAAATTAAGACTGTATTAGTATAAGATACTTTTATTGCAATTTTCCAGCTATCATGACACAACTTTCTGGGGGGATGACTGACTTAATGATTTGCAACAAAGCAATTAATTGTGCAATAAAGGAAAAACATTAATCTATTTAGGGAGCACCAACCTACTGAAAAGGAACCAAAAATCTGAAACAACTTTATCCCTTCATTTTAGGAAGCAGAACAGTCGCGGTTGGGGCATTTAAATCCCTCCAGTTCCATCTGAATTTGAGAAAGGGTTTTTCCTTTCGTTTCCGGAATAAAAAATTTGATAAATATCGTTCCTGTCATTACCAAAACCGAGTACATATAAAACGGTACGTGTGGGCCCATGTCGTCCATCATCCCCGGCAGCGTTTTTGTAATTATAAACAGGCAAGTCCAATTGGTGGTTATAGTAACACCAATTGCCAAACCCTTGACCTCTGGCGCAAATAGCTCCCCGTAAACCAAATAGGAAACCGGTCCAAGTCCGATAGCAAACATAAATGAGTAAACCACTACACTTACCAAGGGAATTACGTTCATACCAGTGAAATAAACGTCGAGCACTTTCAGATGGTAATACAAAGCGAGGGTTGCAAGACAAAGCCCCGTTCCCATGCAAGAAATGTACAGAAAGACCTTTCTCCCCGCCTTTTCAATGACAAAAACGGCAATAACGGTGGAAACTAGTTCAACAAGTGCGACTATTATCGACGACATGTAAGGATCCAGATTCGTACCGGCTGCTTGGAAAACTTGCACCGTGTAAAAAAGAACACTATCAATTCCACTCATCTGCTGAATAATTGTTAATCCCACAGCGGCAAGGAAGGCGCGCCGAACTGCTCGCGATTTCAGAGCTTCTCTAATGTTCGTTTTCTTTCTTCCGAGATGTAGGCACTCTTCAATTTCATCCAAAGCCCCGTTAATGTTGTAATCTGGAGGTCTGTAAAAAAGCAAGGCTTGCTCGGCTTGACTTCTTCGGTCGCATTTCATCAAGTACGTCGGGCTTTCGGGTAGGAAAACGAAAACGACCCCCAGAATAAAGGCCAGCGCACCCATAATCACCGTGAGCGTTATGTAATGAACGAACGCTCCGCAGGCGACTACGATCATGACGCCGACATAAATCAGAAATTCGAAGAACGATCCCAGAGTTCCTCGAATGGAGACTTCGGATATTTCCGAAATGTACATGGGACCCACTACCGAGATGCCACCGCTTGCCATACCGGCCAGCCAACGTCCGAAGCACAATGCGTATACGTCCTGTGCGAAAATGACTATCGCCGTGAATCCCAGCACGGGAAGAACTAAGCCGATGGTCACCTTTTTAACACCGAAACGGTCAGCTAAGTAACCGGACGGCAGGGCGGCTGTAAGTACGCCGATCGCAACCATGGATCCCACCCAGGACCCTTCCGATGTTGTTAGGTGGACGGTCGACGTGGAGTTTTCGTTTTGCAGTTGGGGCAGTACTGGCGCGGTCCAACTCAGGGAGGCGCCCAAACTGATGGGACCCAAGCATACTGAAAAATAGCATTTCGGCCAATAGTTTGGGGGAAAAAAACTTACGCGTGGCAAGGAACTGTTTCAGCTTTGGAACTAAGTCGCCCTTCTTAGTTTTTTTGACTAGTGGCATTTTCTTAGCTTCAACTGAGCAATCGCTGCTTTGTTTTAAGGTCTGTGTGCAGATCGGATTAGCGGTTTCAACGTGTGGCAGTAAATCAGAACATACGCTATCTGGTTGTAAATACTCTGACAAAGGCGACAAAATTCTTTCTTTGTTTAGCTTTATTTGATTAACTCAATTGCACAATTTCATTGTATTTCAATAGTACATGCAACACGAAAATTTCACGATTCGTCTGGATTAAATGATCTATAAGCTACCCCGAAACTACCCTCTTCAAATAAATTTCATTTTCGTTTTATACTTACGTAATTTTTTAGAAAATTCACACTTACATGCATAACACTTCTCGAATGCGGGGGTTGTAACTTTTGCAGTGCGCCAAACATTTTTGTTTCACTGATCGATTATCTTTAAACGATTTATAAGCAACCCCGAAACCACCCTCTAAAAATAAATTTCATGCTCGTTTTAAACTTACGAGCTTTTTAGAAAATTCACACTTACATTTATAGCAACCTTTAATTGCGGGGGTTGTAACTTTTGCAGTGCGCCAAATATTTTTGTTTCTTTGATCGATTATGTTTAAATGATTTATAAGCAACCACGAAACTGCCCTGTAACAATAAATTTCATGCTCGTTTTAAACTTACGTATTTTTTAAGGAAATTCACACTTACATTTATAGCAAGCTTTAAATGCGGGGGTTGTAACTTTTGCAGTGCGCCAAATATTTTTGTTTCATTGATCGATTATGTTTAAATGATTTATAAGCAACCAACGAAACTGCCCTGTAACAATAAATTTCATGCTCGTTTTAAACTTACGTATTTTTTAAGGAAATTCACACTTACATTTATAGCAAGCTTTAAATGCGGGGGTTGTAACTTTTGCAGTGCGCCAAATATTTTTGTTTCATTGATCGATTATGTTTAAATGATTTATAAGCAACCACGAAACTGCCCTGTAACAATAAATTTCATGCTCGTTTTAAACTTACGTATTTTTTAGGAAATTCACACTTCCATTTATAGCAAGCTTTAAATGCGGGGGTTGTAACTTTTGCAGTGTGCCAAATATTTTTGTTTCATTGATCGATTATGTTTAAATGATTTATAAGCAACCCCGAAACTGCCCTGTAACAATAAATTTCATGCTCGTTTTAAACTTACGTATTTTTTAAAGAAATTCACACTTACACTTATAGCAACATTTAATTGCGGGGGTTGTAACTTTTGCAGTGCGCCAAATATTTTTGTTTCATTGATCGATTATGTTTAAATGATTTATAAGTAACCCCGAAACTACCCTCTAAAAATTAATTTCATGCTCGTTTTAAACTTACGTACTTTTTAGAAAATTCACACTTCCATTTATAGCAACCTTTAAATGCGGGGGTTGTAACTTTTGCAGTGCGTCAAATATTTTTGTTTCATTGATCGATTATGTTTAAATGATTTATAAGCAACCCCGAAAGTGCCCTGTAACAATAAATTTTATGCTCGTTTTAAACTTACGTATTTTTTAAGGAAATTCACACTTCCATTTATAGCAACCTTTAATTGCGGGGGTTGTAACTTTTGCAGTGCGCCAAATATTTTTGTTTCATTGATCGATTATGTTTAAATGATTTATAAGCAACCCTGAAAGTGCCCTGTAACACTAAATTTCATGCTCGTTTTAAACTTACGTATTTTTTTAGAAAATTCACACTTCCATTTATAGCAACCTTTAATTGCGGGGGTTGTAACTTTTGCAGTGCGTCAAATATTTTTGTTTCATTGATCGATTATGTTTAAATGATTTATAAGCAACCCCGAAACTACCCTCTAAAAATAAATTTCATGCTCGTTTTAAACTTACGTATTTTTTTAAAAAATTCACACTTCCATTTATAGCAACCTTTAATTGCGGGGGTTGTAACTTTTGCAGTGCGCCAAATATTTTTGTTTCATTGATCGATTATGTTTAAATGATTTATAAGCAACCCCGAAAGTGCCCTGTAACAATAAATTTCATGCTCGTTTTAAACTTACGTATTTTTTTAAGAAAATTCACACTTCCATTTATAGCAACCTTTAATTGCGGGGGTTGTAACTTTTGCAGTGCGCCAAATATTTTTGTTTCATTGATCGATTATGTTTAAATGATTTATAAGCAACCCCGAAACTACCCTCTAAAAATAAATTTCATGCTCGTTTTAAACTTACGTATTTTTTAGAAAATTCACACTTTACATTTATAGCAACCTTTAATTGCGGGGGTTGTAACTTTTGCAGTGCGCCAAATATTTTTGTTTCATTGATCGATTATGTTTAAATGATTTATAAGCAACCCCGAAACTACCCTCTAAAAATAAATTTCATGCTCGTTTTAAACTTACGTATTTTTTTAGAAAATTCACACTTCCATTTATAGCAACCTTTAATTGCGGGGGTTGTAACTTTTGCAGTGTGCCAAATATTTTTGTTTCATTGATTGATTATGTTTAAATGATTTATAAGCAACCCCGAAACTGCCCTGTAAAAATAAATTTCATGCTCCTTTTAAACTTACGTATTTTTTAGGAAATTCACACTTCCATTTATAGCAACCATTAATTGCGGGGGTTGTAACTTTTGCAGTGCGCCAATATTCTTGTTTCATTGATCGATTATGTTTAAATGATTTATAAGCAACCCCGAAACTGCCATGTAACAATAAATTTCATGCTCGTTTTAAACTTACGTATTTTTTAGAAAATTCACACTTACATTTATAGCAACCTTTAATTGCGGGGGTTGTAACTTTTGCAGTGCGCCAAATATTTTTTTTTCATTGATCGATTATGTTTAAATGATTTATAAGCAACCCCGAAACTACCCTCTAAAAATAAATTTCATGCTCGTTTTAAACTTACGTATTTTTTTAAAAAATTACTTACATTTATAGCAACCTTTAATTGCGGGGGTTGTAACTTTTGCAGTGCGCCAAATATTTTTGTTTCATTGATCGATTATGTTTAAATGATTTATAAGCAATCCCGATTCCCGAAATTGCCCTGTAAAAATAAATTCTTCTACTCGGTGGAGGAAGACAAGAGATATCGGGCTATTTCAATGTCATTGACTTGCACTTGTAGGCATTGAGGGAGACCTCTTTCGCTGGAATCCCATACCACCTCAGCAATTGGTAGTTTTTGTTTAGTTTCCATTTCTTTGACGGTTGCCAGGACCCATCCAAGCAGTAGGCATGAAGTGTAGGTACAGGTCGGCGGAAACAGAATTGGCAAACTTCTATGCATTTTCGTGGTAGTGGAGCGCAAACACGCAAGTTGTGAGACGGTGAGGGGGGTTGAGGAGGATACCTCCCAACAAAATATAAGAATGTAAAAAATTGGGTGCTGGCACTTTTTCCCAATGAACCAATGCCCTAAAATGTTTTTAGAAACTTTTTTTTGTAAGTGATTTCTTAGATGTATCTATAGATCCTATTGTTCTCTTTGGTAATTTTCACTTTTTATTAAAAAAATCTTCAAGTTCGTCTTACGGGGTGTGGATATAAATGTTTGCTTTATTGTAAATTTCTTTTACTATAATTGCCGCAGTATAGTGTGGGAAACGATGCCAAAGAGTAAATGTTGACATAATCCCTAAATCATCTGCACGCATATCATGCCACTTTGATGCCAAGTACTGATAAAATTTCACACCTAAAATCCATACCAATCGTTATCAGCAACGACGTATCAGATTAAGCCTTTTCAAATTTGAATGAAGTAATTTAGATAACTTTCCTGTACTCGAATCCTAATCTTTTAATCTTAATAAAACGGTAAATTGTGTAACGAAATTTACTTTTTACCGGTTCGCCGAACACACCCGTTGAAAATTGCGCGTGAATTTCTGAAACAAATTGCGAAGGTATCATCAAAAATGCAGGATCTGGAGTTAAACAAAAAATCAGAAGTGGATTTCAAAAAAAAGAGGACCATCGGAAAATTGCGCCAATTTCTCGCTACAGGTATGTTCATTTTTATCAAACTTCAAAATGAAGGTTTTGGATTAAACCTATTGAAACAGTTTAAATAAATAATTTAGAAAGTTAGTTTTAGCCTTGGTTTTTCGCTGAAAATTTCACAATTTTTTACGTTTCAGTGTGCTTGGGACCGGTGTCCTTGGGAGCGTCGTTAAGTTGGACATCACCAGTTCTTCCACAATTGCTAGAGCCGGACCCCACATCCAACTCTACCAACTCCTCGGGTCTGTTCGAAAATTCCCCACCGTTCACGCTAACAATCGAAGAGGGATCATGGATAGGATCCATGTTGGCGATTGGCGTGCTTATAACCGCGATACCATCGGGATACCTGGCCACCCGTTTCGGATTGAAAAAATCGACAATAGCCTTGGTGATTCCAAATTTGCTGTTTACAATAATTGTGCTGTTCGCAAATAACGTTTACGCGCTGTGCATTGCCAGACTCCTTTCGGGAGTAGCGACCGGTGGCATTTCAGTGGTCGGTCCCATGTACATTTCCGAAATAGCCGACGTCTCCCTTCGGGGTACGCTGGGTACGTTTTTCGAATTTTTAATTTACGCCGGCGTGGTTTTCGTGGCAATTTGCGGCGCGTCTATGTCCTACATTGCTTTGACCATCACTCTGGGCACTGTCGCGTTACTTTTCGGGTGCGTCTTCTGTTTTCTGCCCGAAAGCCCTGCGTACTTGATTAAAATCAATAAACGCGAACAGGCGGAGAGGGCGTTGCGGTTCTACCGGAGCGAAGGGTTTAACGTAGAAAACGCGCTGGACGAAATCTACGAACGCGTGCACAAGAAAACCGATGAAAAAATGAACGTTTTGGCAGAGCTGCGATCGAAAGCTGTGGTTAGAGGCCTAATCGCGTCGATGGGTCTGATGGTGTTTCAGCAACTCAGCGGAATTGACGGGGTCACCTTTTACACGGTGTACATCTTTCAGACTGCCGAAACGCAACTAAACGAATATACTTCCGCCATTATTTTGTCTTCGGTTCAACTACTTTCTGCCATCGCCATCATCTTCGTAACTGAAAAGGTTGGGCGGAAGGTTTTGCTGTACATATCCGCATCGGGGGCATGCTGTTGCCTAACGGTTTTGGCGATGTACTTTCACTTGAAATTAAACGGTATTAATTTTGTTGGCATGGGCGCCATACCTTTAGCCAGCACAGTGATTTATGCGTGTTTCTTTTCCACCGGTCTTGGACCGGTGCCTTGGATGGTGAACGGCGAGCTGTTTGCGCCGGCTATCAAGGGATTGGCGAACGGTATTACCATCACCTCAAACTGGCTGTGCTTATTTCTCATCACTAAAACTTTACCGGTAATGATGGAGGAAGTTGGACCTCATTACACGTTCTACTCCTATGCAGTGTGTATGGTGCTTTGTGTGATATTTATTAAGTTTTATGTGCCCGAAACTCGTGGTAAATCCCTCGAACAGATCCAAAATGAACTAAAGTCATAGAAAATTTTTGGACAATTGTGATTAGCATGTTTATATAAGTACGTATTTATTTTGTATTAAACGTCTTTTTCACTAAGTGCATTTACTGTGTTTTCTTACAAGTTTAGTTAGCAATACAGTAACAATTAATTAGAGCCGACTCGTTTGCCAAGTTTAAGGGTAAATTCGTATCTTCGAAGATAACGAAACTTTTCCCTTTTGAACATTGTGGATTATCACTTATAATTGCACAAGAGGTTTGTATTTTACCGAGTAAATTGGGGTTGTTAAGGTAATGAAAATCTGTTGCCTAGCAATTAGACGAGAAAAACTGTCAACTAATAAAAATGCGACACCGACACCACTTCCACTTCTCTTTCTCTTGGATCAAATGTCTTCGCTTTTTTAGGTTGATAACCCTTAGAATTACTTTTTAGAATCGCGAACAAGGTTTTAAACCTAAAACATTTCATATATTACAACCAGTAAATTAATAATGAACTAAAACTTACTTGCTTATGTCCACTTTCTCAAAAACAAATAGGGTGCATTTAAGCATCGAAAATATAGACCATAAAGAAGGGGCAGCGTATTTTTGTATCAATCCATTGAAATAAGCAACCACTACTTCTTCAATTACAACATTTACGATTCTTGATTGGTTTCTAGTCTATAACTTTTGAATGAGAAGTCTGATTGAAAAAGTACGAATTATTTTGGATTCTACGCACCAAAATTAATAAGAAAAAGTGTTTTGCCGAGAAATTTTTGTGCAGTCGATTTTTGATTTTTGAGGCCCGAAAAAAAATTGTCTCAGATCGACTCGGAAAAGAAATTTTCTTATAGTATGTGGCCTGTAGAATCCATAATTTCAAACAGTTCCAAGATTGGGCTACTAGTTCAAAAGTTACAGCCCTTTGAATTTTCTTTCGAAATTGGTTTCTAGTCTATAACTTTTGATTGAGATGTCTGATCGAAAAAGTACGAATTGTTTTGGATTCTACGCACCAAAATTAATAAGATAAATTTTGGAGTAGTCGATTTTTGGTAAAAAAAGGGAAGGTTAAGTATTCAAATACCTTGCGAAGTATTCGAATACTTTACGAAGTATCCAAATACTAAATATTTGTGAAAGTATTTGAGTTACAAATACAGATACTGCTTCCATAAAGGTATTTATTTACAAAGTATTTGAATACTTTAATAGTCCAGTCAAATTAGCTCTAAAAGTAGTATAAACTGGATGTTGTCATTTCACTGAATGAAACCAAGCGTATTCTATGTAAAAAAATCCGCTGAATCGGATCATAGTCCCCCCGACCGGAAACGCCCGGACCATATTATTATAAACAAAAAACTAAGAAAAAATGAGAAAATGTCGTATTTTTTCCCATTTGACTGCCAATATCTCGTTAACTATTGCTCTGAGGGAAAAAATGAATAGAAATGAACTTGTTTAGAATAAAATTTTCTATAAGATCCGGCCCGGAACGCTAATTTTCAACTGTTATTTTTATTTATGGAAAAATGTAAAAAAGTTATCTCGAAAATTAACACTTTGTTATTATTAAGTAAAATTCATCCGATCTTTTTGAAAATCCGTATTTAGTAACTTCTTTTGATAACAAAACAATATGACAAACCAGATCACCGTAGGTTTCATACTCATTGATTAATTAGATAAACAAGTAGAAAAAGGTAGCTTTGTCTTTCAAACTGGGGGACTACAAGAGCGTTCCCAATTTTTTATAAGATACAGTTTGTCCGGAACACTCATTTTCAACTGTTATTGTTTATTAGGGAAAAATGTAAAAACAGTAATCTCTAAAATTGACACTTTGTTGTTGTTAAGTAAAATTCATTCGATCTTTTTGAAAATCCGTATTTAGTAACTACTTTTGATAAACAAACAATATGACAAACCAGATCACCGTAGGTTTCATACTCATTGAATAATTAGATAAACAAGTAGAAAAAGAGATGTTTTGTCTTTCAAACTGGGGGAGTACAAGAGTGTTCTCAATTTTTTTATACATATTATAACCCTAAAACAATCATTTCCAATAATTCCCGATGATTCCTGGACTGTGCAATTTTTTTTTCAAAATCCGAAGAATTTTCTTAGTTAACAAATGGAATAACTCCCGAAATATAACAAAAAAAATATAACTCTATAATAGGCGAATGTAAAGCTCTCGGAAAGCCGTACATTGAAAAAAAAATACGTCCAAATCCGATTAATAGTTCACGAGAAATCAGCTTTTGACTTTGAAGCCAGTTTTCGAAACAACCAAAAATGATTTTGCAAATCGGGTCGCAACGATCGATTCTTTACAGCGTGAACTTTTTTTATGCTTCTATTTCACCAAAAAGAATGATTTTTATTAATCCGAGTGCCAAGGGCCGATTATAGAGTTACTTTTCTTGTTAAATCTCGGAAGCTATTCGATTTGTTAGTTAACTAAAAAAATTCCACAGTCCGTTGATTTGCAAAAATGATCGAGACGATTATTGGAAAAGATTGTTTTACGGTTCCACTATATTATAAAAAATTGGGAACGCTCTTGTAGTCCCCCAGTTTGAAAGACAAAGCATACCTTTTTCTACTTGTTTATCTAATTAATCAATGAGTATGAAACCTACGGTGATCTGGTTTGTCATATTGTTTTGTTATCAAAAGAAGTTACTAAATACGGATTTTCAAAAAGATCGGATGAATTTTACTTAATAATAACAAAGTGTTAATTTTCGAGATAACTTTTTTACATTTTTCCATAAATAAAAATAACAGTTGAAAATTAGCGTTCCGGACCGGATCTTATAGAAAATTTTATTCTAAACAAGTTCATTTCTATTCACTTTTTCCCTCAGAGCAATAGTTAACGAGATATTGGCAGTCAAATGTGAAAAAACACGACATTTTCTCATTTTTTCTTCGTTTTTTGTTTATAACAATATGTTCCGGGCGTTTCCGGCTGGGGGGACTATGATTTTCGGAATCAGTAAATTTTTTTACATAGGATACGCTTGGTGTCGTTGAGTGAAGTGACAACATCCAGCCCAAACCGTAATTTGACTGGACTATAAAGGATTTGAATACTAAAAAGTATTTACAAAATCGAATACTGCCCATCTCTGCTAGACAGGCTCTTTTACGATACAAAAATGTTAGCCTTCCTCGGTTAAAATTATGCGGTGCACTGCTGTTAGCCGAACTCTATCAAAAATGTTCCAAACCCCACTCGTGGGTATTGCCGCGTAACACAAAGTATTGAAACGACGCATCGTCACCAAAAGCACACAAAATGTCGAATCTGCATATTGAAGCATGTCCACGTCCAGAGAAAGAGAGGAGTTAAATAAGTAAAATAAAGTTTCAAAGAAATATTGCCATACATAAGAAAGTTGGCTATGAGCAGCCTGTGCAGTCACTGCGTATGCCCACATAATTTTTACTATGTGCGAAATGTTTACCTTTACTAGAAGCGCCTGTGGTGCGAAATGTTTACCTTTACTAGAAGCGCCTGTGGTTAAAATTTCAAAGCAATATCTCCATAAATAAGAAAGTTGGCATTGCGCAGTCACTGCGCATGCCCACATAATTTTTACTATGCGCGAAATGTTAACTTTACTAGAAGCGTCTGTGGTTAAAATTTCAAAGAAATATCCCCATAAATATGAAAGTTGGCATTGCGCAGTCTGCGCAAAATATGGAGTTAAATGAAACTGATCGAATTGGGCAAATATAGACCATTACAGCTATCAATTAGCGAAAACCCGAAGTCTCTAGGTGGCCCAGGGGCCGAGATCTCGATGGAACGGACGGACGGACGGACGGACGGAAACACGAGCACATAAGCTTTACCTCAACTTCGTTGTGTTACGCTAAAAAGTGATAAAAAGTTTAAATGTTGAAATATGCAAAACATATCCTTGCTTAATGTTGGTTAAATCTTCCAGAAATTCAAGCTGATGCATCACGCAAAATCTTGGTCTAGGGTTATCCACGCCTTTTCTGTTGGTTTATGGACCCTATTTAGTAAATATATTTGTCACTTACCGTAAGCAAAATAAGTGACAAGACTTGGGAGTTTTTCTTCTTCTCCCATGCGCTGAAGCCTTCTATCAAATCTTCACCGCCAAAACCAGGATCAACTGCTTCCTAGCGGTCTCGATGATCTCCATGATCGCCCTGACCTTGACATGCGACGCAAAGTAATTGTCATCCGACTCCTTGGTCGAGATCATCATTGTAATTGTTCATCGTCATTATTACTGTTCTGTTTCTCCGCTGATTTTCAAACAACCCTTCTCGTCAGGTGTTTCTCTGGGTAGGCTTTCTTGGGGTATTTTATGTTAATAAGTTCAGTAACTTTTCCTTTTTGTTACTACTACTGCCATCTTCAAATTCTTTAATACATTAATAATTACCATGATTGGGTACGGAGTATAACAAAACATTTGCGTTACAGTAATTATCTGAATGTAACGCCTTCGACAATAGTAAAGCTTTTCCAACCGTAATCCTTATCAAGTGGTTCCATTAGGTAGTAGGTATTTGTAGCCCCATCTAAATAACTGTCAATATCCCGAGAACTAGACAGAATTTGCAATGTAAAGCGACAGCTTCATTAGACCCAGAAGGGTCAAGTACCTACTTTACAACTCCTGTTCAGTGATGGATCATTTTGCTGACCAACCACTTTTTAGCCTTGTTCAAAGATAATGGTTGTACTTAGGTTTACATCCGATCCTAAAATTGGATTATAATCTGCGGCGCAACCGAACAGATTTTATCTCAAATCACGTAGGTACGTTATCTTAAACGACCTTGAGATAAACTTGCATGTGTTTAGTAAGTCAAGTCACTAGTCAGTAGAAATTACATAATATCGACCAACTAGTTCCTACCTGATATCAATGTAGGTACCTAACTTTAAAATGACGTTGGAAAGTTTGAACGGTGCGCCTATGCATTGACCTCCACTCCAGGAGGGGTTCAAACCAGAAAGTGCTGTTGTGTACAAACGTAAGTTTGGCGATCGATATCAAATGAATGAATGTGCGAATAATCTCGAAATAATCGAAAAACCCGATGTCAACTTCAGACGAAGAAGAATTATTGGAAGACTGCGCCAGTTTCTCGCCATAGGTAAGCCAAAGTGAAGCAAAAGACTATAATTATCAGTTCCTGTAATTCATTGCGATAGCAATTGGTAGGTGGCGCTTGTTTACGCTCTCGTGCAAAGTTGAACCATTGTTTCAGTTTGTCTGGGACCATTATCCTTGGGGTCATCATTAAGCTGGACATCTCCGGTTCTTCCACAGCTTCTTGAGCAGAACTCAACCAATCTGACGTACCATCGAGCAAACTTCACGTTATCAATCGACGAGGGATCATGGATCGGTTCAATGTTGGCAATTGGTGTACTTATAAGCGCGATACCCTCGGGATACTTGGCTGGCCGTTACGGACTTAAAAAATCGACAATAGCCCTGGTGATCCCCAATCTGCTGTTTACGATGCTTGTGCTGTTTGCGAGCGACGTGTACACCCTCTGCGTTGGTAGGCTCCTATCGGGAATGGCAACTGGCGGAATTAGCGTAGTGGGCCCTATGTACATATCAGAAATAGCCGAAGTTTCCCTGAGAGGTACATTGGGGTCGTTCTTCGAATTTTTAATTTACTTCGGCGTAGTTTTCGTGGCAGTTTGCGGCGCGTATGTCTCTTACACCACTTTGACGATCATCCTAGGTGCTGTCGCGTTGGTTTTGGGATTCATCTTCTGTTTCCTCCCCGAAAGCCCAGCATACTTAATTAAGAAAAATAAACGCGAACAGGCGAAAACCGCGTTGCTGTTTTACCGCGGCGAAAGTTTCAACGTGGAGAACGCCCTCGATGAAATCTACGAACGCGTGCACAAGGAAACTGGTCGAAAAGTGAACGTTATGCTCGAATTTAAGTCGAAGGCCGTGGTCAGAGGACTAATTGCCTCGGTCGGTCTGACGGTGTTTCAGCAACTCAGCGGAATTGACGGCGTCACGTTTTATACCGTTTACATTTTTCAGGCAGCCGAAACGGAGCTGAACGAGTACACTTCAGCAATTATACTCTCGACGGTTCAGCTACTTTCGGCTGTTGTCGTCATTTTTGTCATAGAAAAGGCCGGGAGGAAAATTTTTCTGTACATATCGGCCTCTGGTACTTGCATATGCCTGGCTGCTTTGGCCGCGTACTTTCACTTAAAATTAGTCGGCATTACCTTCTTCGGTATGGGCGCCATACCCTTAGCCAGCACGATGGTTTATGCCTGCGCGTTTTCGGCAGGTTTGGGACCAGTACTTTGGATGGTGAACGGAGAACTATTTTCTCCGGCTGTTAAAGGTATTGCTAATGGTATTACAATTACGGCTAACTGGGTGTGCTTATTTATCATTACCAAGACAATGCCTGTTATGATGGATGATGTTGGTCCACACATTACGTTTTACTTTTATGCGGCTTGTATGTTCTTCTGCGTAATATTTATAAAGTTTTGTGTGCCAGAAACTCGTGGGAAATCACTTGAAGAAATACAAAATGAATTAAGATCGTAGAAAGTGTGTATTTAGCGAAAACAGTATTTTGTATGTTTTATTAGTGTACTTACTCATTTAGTTTCTTTTTAAAACTAGCAGCCTACTTAATTATTGACAATCAAATAAAGTACTTACCTACCCACAGATAATATACCTTAGCATTTTCTTTTTTTATATGGTTCTTAAATTGTTTTGTTGAAGATTTGTCGAAGATTTTCTATTATCAGTACTACAGCACTTATTGCGACTGCGGGCGTCTCAAAAGCTTGCATTTTTTGGGATAGAATCAAGAATGGCTCTTTTTAATTTACCACATATAGAGAGATTAAAGGATACCTGGAAGTTGTCTGTGCAGGAATACTACCAATTGGAGGATCTGGAATGCTGTTGAAGCTAGGGACGAAGATAAAAGAAACTTTTTGCAGCCAGATCCAAGCCGATTTTATTGCTTGTTTTCTCATTACTCCGGCCCCATTCGCCAAGTGAAAAATGCCATGAAATTTTGGGAAGATTCTGGATTAACTAGGAAAGTTGGTCTTATAACAGCAAAGCTTGAGAATTGCTCATCGATGGAAGAACTTGTAGACATAATCGAGGTAACTGCAACTAAGTTCGTGTTGGTTTGGAAGTTATGGAACAATGGATTGGAACATTAATGTTGGCTGGTTTTCCAGATAAGTATCAACCAATGATTAAGAGCATGGAGGGAGACTATGTCAAGACAAAGTTACTTCAGGATGTACAAGTAAAAATCAAGTAGAAGATGAAAAAGACTGTCAAGTGTTATAGATGTCATGAATTCGGACATATTATGTCGAATTGTCCTAAGAAGCCCGAGAAAAAGAAAACTGGCGGCAAGTGTTTGGTGCTATATCGGAGTTGAAGCATCCAGAAAAAGAATGGATTCTGGCGCAACTTCGCACATATGCAAGTACCTTAATCTTTTCGAGAATATTAAGTAATGTTCTAGTTTTTAATTTATGACGGAAAATAACTACAATGAAAGGACAATTTGAACGTCAATAATACGATACCTCAGGATCCGTATAGGTGGTTCGACAATTTCAGTCGACAATGGTTGGGAAAACTAGAATCCAAAACAATTCGTACTTTTTCGATCAGACTTCTCAATCAAAAGTTATAGACTAGAAACCAATTTCCGAAAAAAAATTCAAAGGGCTGTAACTTTTGAACTAGTAGCCCAATCTTGGAACTGTTTGAAATTATGGATTCTACAGGCCACATTCTATAAGAACATTTTTTTCCGGGTCGATGTGAGACAATTTTTTTTCGAGGTTCAAAAAAAGGCAGGGTATAAACTTCCTTTTTTACCAAAAATCGACTGCAGCAAAATTTCTCGGGAAAACACTTTTTCTTATTAATTTTGGTGCGTAGAAACCAAAACAATTCGTACTTTTTCGATCAGACTTCTCAAACAAAAGTTATAGACTAGAAACCAATTTCGAAAAAAAAAATTCAAAGGGCTGTAACTTTTGAACTAGTAGCCCAATCTTGGAACTGTTTGAAATTATGAATTTTACAGGCCACATTCTATAAGAAAATTTTTTTTCCGGGTCGATCTGAGACAATTTTTTTTCGGGGTTCAAAAAAAGGCAGTGTATAACCTTTCTTCTTTACCAAAAATCGACTGCACCAAAATTTCTGGGGAAAACACTTTTTCTTATTAATTTTGGTGCGTAGAATCCAAAACAATTCGTACTTTTTCGATCAGACTTCTCAATCAAAAGTTATTGACTAGAAACCAATTCGAAATAAAATTCAAAGGGCTGTAAATTGAAACGAAAGAAGAAACCATCACAATTAAGTATTCTCTATCGAGTTTATTCTACAAAAAGGAAAATTTCATCTTTGTGGTTGGAATTCAAATTGTAAGGAGGTACCTAATCGAGAAAGTTCCCCAAAAAACAGAGGTCAAAAAATGCACAACTGAAGACATTTTTCTTATTAATTTTGGTGCGTACAATGGAAAGCTATTAATAAATTGGGAATAAAATCCAGCTACTGAGCTACCATTTTTTAATTTATATACAAATATACAAACGATATTTTGGCGATTTAGTTCCAAAGAAAAGATTCATACTGTATAACGTACGCAATTAGCATATGAAAGTTCCATGGCATCACAGATTATTGAAAAAGATGGGGGTTTTATTTTTCCAATTTTCCGTCTTTGTTATGCAAAAAATTGAAAACTAATACGGTTGATTGACGTAAAAAAATTTTTTCTACAAAAAACCTTAATACGTTTTTGCTCTAAAATAATTTGAGGAGCCAATAATCGCATGTTATGAATTTTACATTGAAATCCCTATGATGCGTTACGTAAGTCACCACCCTGTATAGGCGATTTTATAATTAAGTTGCTATTGGCTCTCGATAAGTAAAATATGTTCTTCCCTATCCCGAAAACGTGGAACCTAAAAGTTAAGATTTCGAAGTAGTTCTGGAGAATCAATTTTATTTTGGACCAAGTTATGAAGAAAGGCTAAGCTAATTCTTATTCTGCGCTTTTCTTCAAAAGAGGATTTAAGAATATGTAGTAAAAAAAATAGTGGTCTATTAAAAAATATATGCTATATTTTCAGTGTTACTAGTTTCTTTTAGGTCTGAAATGGATTCGTACGACTCGGATAATTTTAACAGGCTACACTGGTCCAATCAAAACTTAAACTAGGAAAGAAGCTTCCATAACTGTAGTTGTTAACTGATAATCAAAACTTTGCTGTCTAAATGCGCTTTTTGTTTTTTTAGTGTTGTCGTTTCAGTGTTTGGCAAGTAGATTGTTTACCTTATCTTATTATACAGAGCGATTCATGTGAACCTGAAACGGGTCGATTTTGATTCTTAATTTGACGATCTATAGTGTAACAATCCTATCTGCATTCTTCCTCCAAGATTTTAAAATACAAAGGGGGTTGTGTGAATGCAGAATGAAGAAGGGAAATAAATAATACAACTGTACAACTAATACAGTCTTAGACATGGTATTACAGGCTAGTTTCAGTATCAGATGAAGGAGTTGTTTTGAACTATTGGCACTATGGCGTTTGTACCTCTCTGATCCGACATCCATTCAAGATAATACAAAGTTTATCTTGATCCATAGTGGAAAATGGTAAAGATATGGAAGTGTCAACTTCGCCACAGTCTACTTTGTACAGGCGAATAAACCCAGTACACCATCACCGACAACATTTCGAAAAGAGAAACTGAGTAGCCTAATTCAAATATCAAAAAACCACAATAACAAAAAAACAAAGAATGATAAAAGAAACAAGAAGTAAAATAAAAGGTTTAACTATCGTTAAAGACAACGAAAATGCATTATTCATCATTTTCAAATTACAAATAAGTTGAATTTAAAAAGGAATTTGTCCGTCCTAATGACGAGGCAGATGTCCAAAATATCTAAATTAAGTCTATTTTGGTACGAACTGGTACAAACTAAATTAGTGAATGATAAAGCGTTTAACGTGGCATTTTTAAATCGATTTATATTCAATTTTCGTAGATGTTATTGACATGTCTATACCAATTACAATTAGCGGACGCGTGGGGTGTTCGCGGGAGCTCATCTATACTTAGGCTTTAAACAAAATAAATCCTCTTCCTCTTTTCACAACACACGCCAGTACATACGTGCGTAATTAGTGTTCTTTTCTTAGTAATCCACGAAATTAGTTTAATTATGTAATCGGGAAATTAGTTTAATTGCCTTTTTCATCACGCACGACCCCCCTGGTTGTTCTTTTTCTGCTTGGTACAGCCATTACATGAGTCAGAGTGTTGATAAGTGTGATAGTGAGAACCAAAATAGGATAATGGCAAATTACTCGTTTATGATTGGGAAATCCTGAACGCATTCTCGGTGCAAATCTTAATGGTGACGATGACTATAAAAGCTTAACATATGGGGCTAAGCTAAGAATTGCGATGGGAAAACCGTCATCCCAATTACAGTTCGTGCGACATTTCACATGAGGATGACGCTTTTCCAGTACCTATAAAGTTTTCACCTTTGTCGTTGTTCAGTTCATTTTCCAACAAACAATATGCTTAATTAATTGTTAATTAATCTTTTGTAAAATTATGTTTGCTTCAGCTTATATCCGTCTCTCTAGGTCGCCTAGTTGAAAATGGTAATGTTAATCCGAAGACTGGTTTTCTAGCAGTTTGCTACCGTTTAACTATATACCTGAATACACTGAACCACTTAGGCATAGAAACCATTTCTGAATTTCCTGAATGACTTTATGGGAAGTGGCTTGGTTAATATGTCTGCAACATTATCTTCACTACGAATATGATTAAGTTTCAGACAGTTCCTTTCTTCTCCATGAGTTACAGTTACATATTGTGCGCCAAATCTATGGCACTTTTGTTGTCAGAGTACAAATTCCAAGGGGTTTCTTCTCTCACAAATTTCCCACGACAATGTCTTTAACCAAAAAATTTCTTGGCAAATGGTGGAGACTGACATTTATTTTCTGGGCCCTCAACAGGCTTGCGCTCAATTACAGAGTGACTCGCATAATGCTTTTTAGAGGTGCCTCTACAGAAGATCTTGTACCAGACCAGTTAACTTTCCCTGGATTTTTGTTGAACTTCGACAAAGCTCCAATTGCGTAAGAAATATAAGGTCTGCTGATTTGTGCTGCATATAATTTCCTCTTGATAAGGTATTTCCTTCATCTCATTAATTACTTCTGCGGTAGATGGTGAAAACTCCTTGGACAATTTTTTATTGACATCTATTGATAGGAATAGCAACACTCGAAATTTCGAAAACTCTCAGAGAGGTATATAGGACATATTATCAACATTCTTTGGAGGAGCTAAAAGATAACAGGAAAATATACAGGATGTTCCATTTAAAAAAAGGAAGATTTTTTAATTTGAAGTTTTGTAACTTTGGACCTAAAAAAACACCCGGTAAGCTATTTTTTTAAGCTTTCATAGTAGATGTATTTATTTGATTTTTACTTTATCCGAGATAAAACATATACAGCCTGGAATCAAAATTCAAGCAATAATTTTGATAATAAACTGACGCTTGCAAATACCAATTTTTTCTTACAAATCGAATTATATTCAAAACTAGTAGTTTTTCGAATATTAACCGTATAATAAAAAAAGTCGTACAATTAAAATCTGCATTCAAATACAGGGGTTCTATTTAAAAAAGTGTATCGTTTCAACGCCCTAATTTGTGAGCGCACCCTGTATAATTCCAAATATTTTTAAAATGTGGACAATATTCAACCATATCATTATACAAAAGCACTCTATTGAAAAATCTTATCAAGGCATTAAGTTACTCCGTGCAATCGTTGACTCACCCTGTACGATGTACATGGCAATAAATGCATAAGAGAGAAAGACACGACGCGCGAAGTCATAATTTAATGATTAATGGTTAGGGCCGAGTGATTAGGGGATTGTTTTTTATCCTTTATTATATTTCAGGGATCCAGTAGAAGCTTAAATTCAATTGATTTTATTTTATAGCAAAATTATGTTAAAATGACATTTATAAAGTGAAACAGATGAGTGTGCACTCATTCCTATTGCAATTGCACGATATAAAATGACGTCTAGAATATATGACAATTCTGTTTCTATAGCAACAATCGCGACGGCAGAACCTGCTTGCTATTTTTGACATCTCTAAATTAAAAATCAGAATTGGCAGAAGCTTTACAATGATTTATATGTCTTCTGCTATAAAATAAAGTTTTGTATTATGGACGACGATAAAGGCAAACTAACCATCTCGTGAAAGAAGTGATGTATTATGTTATCAAAAATCTCTAAACCTTCCCCATATAGTTTTATTCGTTGAAGTTTTTAAAAATAACAGCGACTATAGTTTCGGCGTACTGCCATCATCAGGCGACTAGAAGTGTATCACAATATAGCAAATTTGAAAACATTAAGAGCTAGTACTTACTGTGAAAGTTAACAGGAAAACGGTAAATTACAAACGTTGAAGACGGATATGTTCGTCTTATCCGTCTTCAACGTTTGTAATTTACCGTTTTCCTGTTAACTTTCACAGTAAGTACTAGCTCTTAATGTTTTCAAATTTGCTATATTGTGATACACTTCTAGTCGCCTGATGATGGCAGTACGCCGAAACTATAGTCGCTGTTATTTTTAAAACTTCAACGAATAAAACTATATGGGGAAGGTTTAGAGATTTTTGATAACATAATATATTTCAACCCCCATTTCGAGGAACGATGGATCCAACGTTAAAAATCCCTTTATCGTCTTGTATAATAATGTAACGGAAACGCTCCAGACATGACGTCGCCTTTGGCGCTCTGGAATTTTCTACGCGCGCGATAGTGGGATTTGTGTAGGAATATTCGAGAATGTACGCGGATGTTTGACTTACATTGCTTGCGTGTATAAATGGTTGCGGACCGAACATCGCGGCAGTTTTTACTACTGAACCAGATCGAGCGCGGAAATATAAATTGCGAAGTGTGTGTGATATAAATAATCGATATAAATTGTACGGTTTTTATAGTGTTTTAGTTTTGTTTAATAAATATTGATATAAATCGAACCCGAATTTATAAATCACGTTACAATAAGTAACTATTAGTGCGACACATAACAACTGAGCCGTCTTTGTATCATCACTAACATTTTCAAGATCACAATTTTTCAAAACGCTCCAAGTAAAAAGTGAACTAGAGAACATTTCGTTACTCGCATCATACCTTTCCAACGGTATAATCTGGGTTGCTGATTGGCTTTCAAGTGCAGTAGGTAAAACTTAAAGGTTTACAAAAATTCTTAAAATTACTTACATCAAAGAGTAATTATGGTTACTCTTTGCTTACATTAAGCTAAAACAAGGAGAACAAATAATTTATAATATTAGGACAGCTGGATTAGAACTCTTCACTATGGGACCATGACTAGACAACGTTATATCAATGATGGTCCGTTTAAAATGGCACAGTTTTGTTCTTTTGTCACTTATATTTAGTCAGGTTATAGCACAACTTAAACAAAAATAGTTATTTGTACAACTAGTGAAGAAAGTATACAGTTTTGGGTTCGGAAAAGAACGTTTTTCTACAAAATGGTGTTTCGACTTGGTTTTTTCTCCGAAATTTTCTTATGGTATGTGTGGTTTTGTTTGTGTCAGGGAAATTTTGTAGTTTCGGCTATAGGGAGCTATAATTTGTTTAGAGGGGCACCATTTAAAATTAAAAAAATATGACATTAGGCGAAGGCCAATCAACAATTTTATTTTATCGATAAAAGACCTAAGACAAATTATTATGTGACAGAGCTTTTTTCGGTATCTTTCATTGTAAAGGAATTATGTTCCGAGGAGTCATCGATGCTACACCAACTGTGAATAACAATGTAGTGTTTTTGAGAAATTTGAGTTCTATTTTTGAATTTTTAAATTCCGGAGACTGGGTAGCCGCTGGTTTTGTATTTCTACAGGATTCACTTTAAAGAATGAGCTGGCGTGTACTAGATCCTGTTTCATAGTGCAGCAAATTTTCAATTTCTCGATACGCCTGCGAAATCAATTCGTTTTCCACTAAATATTTGAGCTTGCCAAATTGTTGCTAATTGCTGTCCACTTTGTTAATCTGAAAGTCGACTTTGCTTTTTTGTAAAATTTGGGATTGGCCCCTTTTAAATTTAGGGTCCTTTTTTGTTAAAAAAAATGAACTTATCCTCTCAAATTAAAGGAAAACCTTGCTGTGAAAGGAGTAAGCGCCAATGTTCGTCTACCAAGATTGGGAGGCAATTTCAATAAACAAAATTCACGCCAATAATTGCAATTAATCTATAATAGATAGGTTTATCTAGGTAATGCCCCAAGTTTAACGTAAAACAAATACATTAATACGTAGTTAAGTTAATGATATAAGGAAAACGATGCTAATTACCATATTAAAATATTTTTTTTTCAATCCAGTCGTTCTCGATAAATCTGAGCGTGCGATAATTAACCACCTTCTACTTCTTGGTTTGTGTGTGTGTACACTATTTTCAATTTATACCAGTATCTTTAGACCTTAGCGTTTGTATCGACTCAAAATTAGTGCTGTTCGGTTCGTTCAAAACTCAAAATCGTCATTCGAGTGCTGGTTGAACACGTAGAATGACCCATACGGTGAAGAACAACGCGATTCCCTTGATTGGGAAATTGAAAATGTTATTCGCCACATGTAAGTACAAATTTTTCTTGTCAATTTAACGTGAAACGCGTCCATTTGTTTGTAATGGGTGAGAGGTAAAAATGTCATTAGCTGGCGCGATAAACACATTGTGGAATTTTTATCAGACTTTCCCTGGGAGGTACCGGCAATTTTTTTCAAAACGTCCGTGTCGTCGACTTTTAATAACTAGAAAGCAAAAAAGAAAAACTTGCACGGAATGCAAAAATTTTAAGTGAATCTTGCTTGCTATCCTTGATTTTCAAAACCTGCTTGTGTAGAGGATGTCTTTTCTGGTTTCTCTGTTACGTTCTCGTTTATTTTGATTACGGGTGAACTTCGAGCAAAACTTCAATTGTAACGGTATTTTCGTTTTGCATTGAAATTAATCTGATTAAACGGATCCATGAAACTATTTGTTCGTTCAAAGTTTAATGATTGCAATTTCCTGATGAAATGTTTTTGTACAAAGTAATAGCATCTTCATATCTGCGCGAAAATTGTTGTTTTTAGAAAAAATGACTCTTTTTTGTGCTTTTAAACCAGAATCGTGGGAGAAATTTCTGTTTACTGCAGTTCATAGAAAGTGTAAAATCGCAAATTAATGACGTAGTATTTTGACATGATAGTAGTGATTACTCGTGATTAAGTGACTGCAGTTAATGATCATTTTGTTTGAAATAAAAGCAATACATTTATGAAATCTAGGCAGATCGATTAGATACTGAGCGACATTAATTTGTAGTGTACCGGATCGGTTTCGGATCTAACAAACCAAATACACGTGCCATCGTGCATCTTAAAATTTTGAATCATAAAATGTGAATCCAAGTTTGAGCGTTTAATTTTGGAATATGGAGCTTTGATCCTCAATCTTTGCCTTTTCAATCTATAAACAGTAAATCTAAAACTTCCACCCAGATCGCAAATTTTCAATCGGCCCTAAAACCTTGAATTATTTTGTCTTTTACATCATACCAAAAAACTGGATCAGACATTTAATTTTTCTTCCGAATTACTGTAACTTCCTTGGATCGTTAATCTGTAATATTGGTTGTACTAAGTACACGCATTCTCCTACATTGTTTATCATTTCCGATTCGGATTATCGCTACATGATAGCATAGTGTATTCTATTCCTTACACTAAGATGATAGGTACGAAACCAAGAAATAAATGTTTGATTAGATTCTCTTTACGCGTACAGAATGAAACAGGATGTTCTTAAAACTTGTTAGTCTGGTAAATTAAATCCAATCTAAAAAGATCAGTTTGTTTGTGTTTTATAGAATCCACAAGTGTGTAATAATTACGATTTCACTATGTAAAAGGTGCAGTTCAATGGCGCCAGCAACTTATTTTTAAACCGATTTGAGAAATAGTAAAAAATAATGTTCGACTGATTTATATAACATGGCAAATTCTTCGTATTCCGGTTACATATGACTTTCTATTTATAGTCATATGTATTTATACATCCATTTTGCAAAAAATGCGAAATTCCTTTAGCATTTCCTTATTTGAAATTGTTATAAATAATCTTTCTCGTGCATGATTTGATTTGAAAGTACTGTATTTCAAATTGTAATAAAAACCATGGTTGAACAAAAAATCATTTCACGGATTCCTTGAAACAATCTTCTTTTTGATTAGGTACATTGTTAACGAGCTCCTAGCGAGTTCACGATTTTGGACTTTCTGTCCGTCCGTCAGGGCCGTAGCCAGATTTGTTTCTAAGAGCGGGCAAATCAATCTACACAGAGCGGCCGGGTTAAATATTAATAATTTTCTGTGTGCCACGCATACACCACCCGCTGAAGAAATTCGTTTGTAGCGTAACCCACGAAACTGGAGAGTTTATGTCTTCACATTTACGTCGTTCCGTACTATAGCTCAGTCTCTCGTATCGACTTCAGGTCCCTTTCTTATATGAAAGGTTATGGATTTCAGGTGTGAAACTATCACAAATTAACTTTTGCTTTCGTTGCATTGTCCAAATCGTTATTTGTGCACAAATTTTTCTGGGAAAACGATTGAATTCGATGAACCAGAAATGATACATTTTTGGCGACCAAAATATTTTTACTCAAAGGATGTCAAAATCATTATTTATGGATCAATCTTCTTGAGAAACTAGATTGCTGAATTCCCAAGTGGTGGCAACATAATTCAAAAAATCCCATACAACTGAACGACCCTCGAGAAATTCACGCGTACATAATTTTTACAACACACTTTAAGGGGTTGATTCTGTCCCACCAGATCAGCATACCTTGTAAAACAAATTTTTTGATTCGACATTAGCTTTGAGGTACAAAATTTCATTCAAAGATGTTTGGGATTGCGCAAATACAAAAGTTGGGTTAGGCATGCGCAATTTAGTTTTTATTCTTTGAATTTCCAGTTCATTTTACATGAAAAAGCGTCAAAACTAGCTAAAGAGGCTTTGAGTCATTTATGATTTATGATGATTTATTTCTTGTAAAGAGTAACTAATACTTTTAGTATTCTTTGCGTTAATGCTGTTCAGAATTATATGTATAATTAATTACAAGTTTCCATCTCGAAAATACCAGTATCAATTTACCATCGTTTTAAGCTTCTTTTAATTTTTCTGGTACAAGAAGAACTTTATTAATAATCTAAGGGGATTTACATTTAAATGAGAGTTGGAAGAACCTGTCCAGTAATTGAAACGGTAAATGCAAATAAATACATTTACTTCCTCTAGAATCTCGATCGACGTGTTAAGCAATATCTTAACAAAGACTAAAACTGTCATATTCGCTCAGGTGTATATTGAATATAATAATAATAATATCAAGGTTTAATAGTAATTGAAGATAATTGAGACAATTGAGGTAACGCTTAGGTGCTCGATTTTCCATCATCTGTCTGTCTGTCTGTTCCATCGAGATCTCTCGAGTATAACGTCGCTATATATATCTTATTTCCTTTATTTTTAAATCATATTGCAATTATAATAAAAAATACTATAGAAAACACGCGTATTAGTTGATTACACACTTGTTTCTTCATATTATTTAATTTTTGTATTACTTCATAAGGTCTTTTATCTTATGCACCCGACAGAATGATCCGCTCACAAATTAGGAGGTTTCTGATATGCGCCGTTGATTAGTAATCTGGTCCAAATTAGAACTTGCACCAAGATTTAACAAAAACTACGGTAAACGTAAAGTTAAGTTTTCGGTGGAAATTCAAAGCTCAAGCTCTTAATTTGATCTCGTGGTTCTAGCATTGAACTAGATTAGAATTTGGAAGCCTGAACTAAAATTGTTTATTATTACATTCTACTAAATTTGCAATCTGTGGAATGCAAATTAACATTTCCACTTTCCACTGAGTTGGGGAAGTACATAGTGTGCAAAATTGCGTTGTGAAGTTCCTTCAGTATTTTTCCTGTGAGTAGATTTTCTCGCGGTGCTTTTTCAGGGCGTAGGTACAGTTGCGCTAATAGTTTGTACTTTGGCGATACTTTAGTGCTTTAAGTGCTTGCATTAGCTGAATTTCTTATTTCTTGAAAAACAAAACACACAATTTGTCTAGAAAATGCTTATTTGGCCGATGCGACGGCTAGGTCTTTATTATGATTATAATTGGAGCTTTCTCCCAATTGTGATTTAACACGATTTATGGAAACTATTCGAAGTATAGTGATAATAGATTTATTTTGTCGCCTCGGGGGCAATGAAGCAATGCAAAGTTTCCGAGTTTCCCTCGAAATGCAAGAACAGCGAGGAGTCCATCAGATTCCAAAAACTTTATGTAAATTATGGCATTTCATTCTTACATCCTTTCCCTACAATAGGAAAGTAGGTATTCTCTGCGTCTTGCCGCTATTGAGGCGTATTTCTCCAATCCTTTTTTGATCATAGAATGTATGTGTATACGTTTAATTTAGAGAACGTTTTGTAAATGTTATGTTGCGAGTAACTAAATGGAAAATATGACTTGTTTTGCAACCCTGATTTTCTTGGTCTGCGCACTGGTATCTTTATGGAATAATTCTTTTATGTTATGTCGATTCTCAATACAATTTGGGTTTTTCAAGATTTTTACAAGATTTTCTATCCTGTGGGCTAAATTATATATGAAGTACTATTATGTACATAATAATAATAATAATTCTGAATTAAAATTTAGATTCCTGAATTATATACATAATTTTAATTCGGAACTCAGTAATGCAGAGTTTGACAACATTGTAAATTGCCGAAACGGTAACGGAGGCACGGTCACCAGTTGTACTATTTTTTTTATTATGATTGCCGTCAATTTTAATTTTTAGGAAATTAATCAGCAGGGTGCGCCACTGATACTACGTTTTGTCGAAAGACTTACATAACCGTTTTATTCGTCCGATTAATCGTTGTGTCTGGACCGGCCTTAATTTCCAAATGCATTTCCCCTTTAGTTTGAAGGTTTGTTTATTTAAAAAAAAGCTAAGCAAACTTACTGGTAATATACTCGCTCAAACTCTTCCTTCTCTTTCTGTGTCTCCTTTAGCGTGTCTCTCATTCAATGTTGCCGCGTCTACTTTTGTAGTCAAATTTGAATTAAAATTATGTAGCTACATAATAATAATTTAGTAAGAAATCTTAAGTACATAATAATAAACAGGAATTTAAAAATATGTGCATAATAATAATTCAATTAAAATAATGGTTGTTAGCGAATTATAATTCATTCGGTTATAGTTAAGTGTAAGCATAATTATAAATGAAGGAATTAATATTAGGTTTAATTAAAATAAAAGTAATTGAGTAAGTTAGCAGAATAAATTAAAATTGCGTTGTGGCCTAATAATAATTCAGCACAAGTATACAAATTAATTTTTTTTTATTTTACACATTTGTAAGATATACAATTCACTTTAGTGTTAAAAACGATGATTTTGAAATATTTTTGGATAATAAAATACCCTGTAAAATACACTTGTTTTTATGTATAGGCATAATTATAATTCAGGACTTTCCCTATAAGTACTAAGACGTATGTTCTAAATTTCTTTTGTGTCTAAACATAAATTTAATTCGTCGTTAATTTGATGTATAAACATAATAACAACGTTTCCAATATATTCCTGTTTTTACTGTAACGTTAAGCTTTTATTTTGTTTGAATATTATAAGATTTAATTTTAAATAGTAAAATGGCGTGCCATACGAGTGAGCGATTTGGGACAAAGCATAACAAACTCGTTTAATTCAACAACTCGACGCTAAAAAAATAGAAGCAATTATATACAAGGTGTATTATATATTTTTTGTATCTTTACGCCCTGTGTAACGACTGTTGATAAAACAAGTTAAACGAATGTTCTCGCGAAATAAATGATAAAGATTGCTGTAATCGCGTATATGAAAACTAGGTTTTTATTCAGAAGAGTGACGTTTGCAACACGAGCGAGCTTGCGAGCGAGTGGAGCAAGTGATCCAGAGTTATTTGTTTGTTACATATTATGGCGTGATACGGTTGTCATTTCCAATGTCTCCGATGAATTGCGAAATCTGTGAATTTTTGCTCATAGAATATGCGCTGTGTGTACGTTTTTGTTAAAAATAATTTAATTGGGAAAACGCATTATGTTACGACTAACTAAACGGGAAATGCAGCTTGGTGTGTTATATAACTATTCTCGTATGATCTTTGTTAAAGGACGACAGTAGGTAATTGAATTTTGAATACTAAACTGAAGGACCAAGAAGAATTTAATTATGAAGGGTTACAAAGCGTAAATTTTAAAAGTCGTATCTAATCAGAATGGGAATAAATTATAGCATCCTAATTGGTGTTGTTTTTTTTTGGTGATAACTCTTAATCTTAGAAACCCAATTTTACGTAAAGCAATCCTTTCATCAGGCTTAAAGGTCAACGTGAAACGTGCTTCTTCCAAGATGTGCACATTTGTTCAATGTAATGTAATTGCGTACCTACCTAGGTACATTTTTCAATTTGCATTTCAAAACCTTCTGGGTTTTTTGAAGTAACACGCAAAGTCATTTTGTTAGAACAGGAGTAGCTCACTGTTTTCCATACTTGTATTTCCATGGAAATTCAGTGTATATAGATCATGCGTCTCGAACCAACCCGACAAGAGCCTATTCCCGCCCACCTCGAGCCTATGTTAATAGCTTTGTGTGCGTAGATTTGAAATGTTTATTTTACACAAAACATAGGCTCGAATATAAAAGCAACTTTCTGTCCACTCAAAAGATAATTGAAATACCGCGCTTATCGATCACTCTTGCGACGATTCAATGCGCGTTGTCACTGTTACGCTTGTGGTGTGTTGAAATGGAGGTGCACGATGTGAGTAAACAAAGTGAAAAATCCCATAAGAGCCATGATACGATATTTATCGGAAAAGTGAGGCAGATTATCGCAACTGGTGCGTATACTAGATCGGGTGCGGGATGGGATAATCCAAAATTGCAAATTTTTCTGTTTGGTAGGCACCCCTTTTTTTAAATTTTGCCAAAGTATAGGTAGAGAAAGTTGCAAAATCACTTTAGGAATGCGAAATATTCTTCATCAATAATCAATTACACTATTACAATTTCCAAGGCAATGTTTTTGCTAACTAGAGTAATTTGGTCGGTAATTATGATTAGATACTATGGCCATACTTTTCCTGTAGTTAATTGAATTTCTTCTGAAAAGCGTATTTAATAACTTCCCCGAATATTAATTATGAACCTAATTATTTTTTAAAAACAGTTTAGCCTACCATATCAAATTGAAACATTCTTTACGATGTCGAGGCAATGACCTTGCGCCAAGTCGCGTTTTATCACTTCTTATCTAACTCAAAACACAAGAAGCAAAATTTTGGATTATCCCAAAGGGCGATCTTCAACAATAACTTATAAGTTCCTTGCAGTTTGCCTCGGCCCAATATGTTTCGGGGTGGCATTTACGTGGACCTCACCAGTTTTACCCCAGTTGCTGGAAGGCAACGCGACAAACTTTAGCGGAACAGGTTTATCAGTCAGCGACGGGTCATGGGTCGGGTCGATGGTCGCAATCGGCGAGCTAGTGGCATCCGTCCCCCTAGGATACTTAGTGGGACGTTACGGCGCAAAAATCTGTACGCTACTCCTGCTTGTGCCGATGTTAATTTTTACATTTATCGCGATTTTCCTAAACGACGTATACTCACTATGCATCGCGAGGTTCTTTTCGGGAATGGCGACCGGAGGCATTTGCGTCGTTGGACCCGTGTACATATCGGAGATAAGCCAAATATCATTCAGGGGAGTTTTGGGATCTCTCTTCGAGATGTTAATCTACGTCGGCATGGTCTTTGTGTCGGTCATAGGAGCGTACCTCGACTACATCAAGTTAACAATTATCGTGGGCGTCCTCAATTTGCTCATCGGATTAGTATTTTTTTACCTACCGGACAGTCCAACGCATCTGATCAAGATGAATAAAAGGGAGAAGGCGGCGAAGGCGTTGAGATTTTACAGACACTCGAATTACGAGGTGGACAACGATTTGGACGAGCTCTACGAGCGAATACACAAAGCGGAACGAAGCGAGCGATTCACAATCGAGACGCTCAAATCGAGAGTCGTAATACGTGGGCTGATTGCAACAGTTGGATTGACCATCTTTCAGCAGCTTAGCGGAATTGATGGCATCGCCTTTTACTTGGTGCAAATTTTTCAGGCTGCTCAGACTAATATTGACGATTATACGTCAGCGATAATAGTTGCGGTTGCTCAGTTCGTCTCGGCTCTAATTGTATTGTTCATCATCGAAAAGGCGAACAGAAAAACCTTTTTGCACGTTTCGGCCATTGGAATGGCGGTGTGCTTGGCGGCCGTCGGCGCGTTTTACCAACTGAAGAAGAATGACATCTACTTTCCCGGTCTGAACGCCATCCCCATCGTCGGTTTGGTAATGCACGCGTTCGCGTACTCGGTCGGCTTGGGACCGATACCGTGGATTGTCAATGGAGAATGTTTTGCGGCTGATGTTAGTGGTGTCGCCAATGGAATTATTATGACGGTTAACGTGTTTGTTTTATTTCTTATAACGAAGATATCGCCCATTGTTATGGACAGTCACGGGACCGAATACGTGTTTTACTTTTACGCTATATGTATGGTTTTGTGTGTTGTTTTTGTACATTTCTGTGTGATTGAAACTAAAGGGAAGTCGTTACATGCAATTCAACTTGAATTAAGCTCTTGAACCGGATCAGTATTAAAAATGTAACTTTAATAACTATTATAATAAATTTATAAGGAATATTGTTTTCACTGCCGACAGATGGCGTGTCTCAAAACTAATGCCATTGGGTATATCTAGTCAAATGAATATAGTGAACTGAACGTATGGTCTTCTGACCGAATGTAGATGCGCTGTTTCCAGAATATTTCTGCGACTCGGTTACATTAAAAATTTTGATTATTTGTACTAAATTCGAGGTAATGCCAAACATATTTACCTTGGATGTTAAAAATGTTTATAAATACATAATTAAAATTTCTTTAAAATTAAATTAGCGTTATTTAAAAAAATATATGGCTTTTCCAGAGCTTTGGGACGTCGACGAATTCAGTTTTTTCTTGTTATTGTGATTCCTCAGTAGTTTTTATGATTTCCAACCAATACTAATGTGAGTGCTATAAACGAGTTTATCGGTTCCATACAAATACAAGTGAATGAGGGCTACTCGACCTTAATGAATCTGTAGTAATATTTCGGTATTTCGATAACTTCGTTTAAAAAAGCAATTAGAAATGATAAGCTAACTATATGGCTTACTTTTAATTGTATTCCGATAATAGTAACGCGTACGTTTTTACACGCAATTATGAATAATAAAGGCAAAAGGCCATGTTAATGGGTATAAACGAATTGGGTTTTTGCAATGAACATGGTCTTAGTGAGATAATAGTTTATCAGTCAAAAGCGCGAAATAACTTCGCGCTAGCGTTATATACAATATTTTTTCTACAACTGAACCGATTGTTAATTAAATTTGCTGTTTAAGTTCAACTTTGTCACGTGTGCGAAATACTTTTTTTCACTGTTGACGATTTCGCGCACGTTGTCAAGAGCAACCTTACTTATTAATTAACCGTTTAAAAATCTAGTACTTCGCGTTTCGAAATCCGTCAGAAAATGACAGGTTTTTTTGACAGTTGTAGAAAATAGTATATTACAGTACAAGTGGAGAAACTAAAAGTTTCACTCACGCGTGTGTCGAGATTACACACGAGGCGTAGCCGAGTGTGGAACGACACACAAGTGAGTGATTTAGTTTTCCACGAGTGCTGTATAGCGTTTTGTTCAATCCTGTTACTAATAAAAATTTAAAAAGAAACAGTGTAATAGTTATTTTTTTAATATTTAAGCATCTGAAAAAACATAGTAGGTAGTTTTCGTTGTTATGGTTCCCATGAGATCTGGGTAAAACAATTGACACAATGTGTCAACAAATTATAATTGTAGCAAAAGTGTGCGCGTTTAGATTTCCAAGAAAATGGAAGATGAAAATAGTGTATTTGTGCCAGATAACATTTTGGAAGAAGCGAATGCAGCGACATTTAATTTATTACCGAAAAAATCCAAAGACAGATACATCAAGGAGTTGGAAAAATTTCGGTCGTGGATGGAGAACAGAAACGTAAATGTAATTGAAGAAGTAGTGGTTGCTTATTTCAATGGATTGATACAAAAATACGCTGCCCCTTCTTTATGGTCTATATTTTCGATGCTTAAATGCACCCTATTTGTTTTTGAGAAAGTGGACATAAGCAAGTAAGTTTCAGTTCATTATTAATTTACTGGTTGTAATATATGAAATGTTTTAGGTTTAAAACCTTGTTCGCGATTCTAAAAAGTAATTCTAAGGGTTATCAACCTAAAAAAGCGAAGACATTTGATCAAAGAGAAGTGGAAGTGGAAAAGTTAAAGTCCCTGGTATCAATCAACCAATTTTTAACAATTGTGATGTTAATTTTCATATTTATAAGTAATTTTGTTGCTTTGTATCTATTAGTGATGAATTATGAATAAATAAATGTTCAGCGTATGTGTATTTATGAGTGGGTGAAAATTTTTCACTCACTCTTTTCGCTCACCCGTTGCTATGGAAATAGTTTGAATGGGTAAAACAAACACTTTCACATTTGGTATCTAAGTAAGAAACACTTGTATTCAATGACAGGATTGAACAATAGTTATTTTATTGCTTATTGAGAGGTGAATTCTCAAGAAAGTGTGGGAATGGGATACTTTCTTTGTTTCACTGGTACAGCATTGTTACGTAGTATCAGTAAAAGTTGTAAATTAACCCAAAACAAATGTTTAACTTTGTAAATTTACTGTGCAATTAGAGATAACGCGGTTGCCTTTCACGCTTCTTCAGCTTGATAAGCAATATAATTCTTTTATGGCGAGCACACAAACTACAAGGTCCTTCTTCCTTTGGCAACTGGTTACAGTCAATCGATTGGTCTTAAGGATTAAGTGCAGATTTTTATTGTTTCTGTGAGCTTTGCAGATGAGTATAGCCCCTATAGTTAAGTGGCCAAATCGAAAAACGACTCTGTTTCTTAGTTCTAACGGCATTTTATGAGCCATTTTGGCCACATGGTTTTTTAGATGTAAAAAAATGTGCTGAATCAGATTCTGGATGTTGCCAGGCCGAATTTTGCACTAGTTCGCAAATACAGCACGATGGCGCCACTATCTATTGTATTGTGTACTATTTAGTAAGTATTAAATTGTTTTCCATAATTTATTACTTATATATACGTAAGAGTTGGTTAATTTATTTGTTTATTTATTTAATTTATTTATTTAATCAATTTGAGTTGCAAACAGGACAAACCTAAGATAGCAACTACATCGTATTGAAAAAAATATAAATCAATGGTAAATGTGACATTCCACAAGTATAATCAAAATAAAAGCTTAAACAAGGTTAACAGAGTAAATTAAAATATAAATAAAATATTAAAATAAAAATAATTTTAAACACATAAGTGATAAATTAGTATGCAGGACACAAGTGATGTGCTACTTAAATTCAACAAAGAGTAGAGGCAAACAAAATGTAATTACGTACAGTATGAAATAAAATTAAAATTAAGATACAGTAAAATAAATGATGTATGGCAAGATAGTAAATGCGATGCGACGTGTAGAAAAGGAAAAAGGATAAATAACAAAGTTAATAAACCGAATTAAGAGATCTCAAGTAATATTTTAAATAATTTCTTTTTAAATAAATTAAAGCTAAACGAAAAAATGTCCAAGTTTCGAAAAGCGTTGTTATTAAACAACAAAAAAATTCTATTCATTGGGGCATTATAATAGAAATTGGTTCTAGCTTGAGATGATAGGAGAGGCTGTTGATGACGAGGGACATAGGAAGGAGTAATCATTAGAATTTTGGAAAGTAAGTAGTTGTCAAGAAGGTGATTGATAATTTTATATAAGCACATAACATCAATCTTAGTTCTATGCAAAGATAATGGACAGATTTTCAAGTTGACACAGGCAGTTTTATAATCCACATATTCAACATTAAACTTTTTTGAAATAAACTTGAGAAACTAATTAACTTCATAGCTAGTTCGAAAAATGTAGGAACATATATCCTGTGGTGATATTTAGGGTGTCCCAAAAAAGCTGTGAATTAATTAAATTAGTGTTTTACATTTTTCTCGGCAAATTTTGTTTGTTATTAAATTTTGTGCTTTTTAATAACCGTTGGTAAGTATTTAGGTTTTTTCCAACTATATACAGTGTGTAAAGCGATGGGGTATACAAGAGGGAATTTTTTTCAATATCGATTTATGAAAAAAATTTATTCTTCATGATGTTTTTTGCTTGCTTTGAAAGTACCAATAAAGTTTCGATAATCTAAAATTTATTTATAGAAATTTGGAAAAATAATAAAATTAATTTTTTTATTGAAAGTTATTCTACATTATGATCAAAATAGCGTATTGCTATCAAACCACAAACAATCGAAACGTAATTGGTACTTTCAAAGCAAGCAAGAAATATTATGAATAATAAATTTTTGTCATAAATCAATATTTAAAAAAAATTCCCTCTTGTATACCCCATCGCTTTACACACTGTATATATATAAATAAAAATTGTGTATTTTTTCCAATGAATTCAAATCTGCAATTAAAAAAACAAAACCACATCGCATTTTTCAGATGATAACAAAAATGTGACTTTGATATGGAACACCCTGTGTATTATTACATAATATGACAGGTTATTATATATTCTTTATAAAACACTATAGCAAAAATATTTTAAATAACCAACATTTTCAAATTATTGACGATCTCCTAGGACGTAGAGAGTTTATAATTTTGCGGTGCCTGTCCATCTGTCTCGAGATCTGTTCATTAGCACGATACCTCGAAAACGAATAGATAAAATAAATAAAATGGGCTGAATTACATAGAAGCACAGGAGACGTTTTTAGCAGTTTGTCATGTTATAATGTTGCTTGTTGCAAAGTTCTTACTAGTTACCTAAACAATCGCAATTTAAGCTCTGAAACTTCTGGTTTAAATTAAGTCTTTTGGTTTGCAGTTGCAACAGAACCTTTCTTTTCAGCCCCACGGTTGCACGTTATTATGCAACGGGGTTGCATAAAAAGGGGCTTGAATCTCCCTTCCTTGAAATGAAATTATCGAATTTATTAGGTAACTTTGCTTGAATTTTTTAGCAAGAATTTTAAAATGACCTTCGGCTAGACCTATTTATATGCAATGATTGGTCACATTCCGAATGAAAGAATTGCTCCTTTCCCTTTTTTTACTTGAAACTTAAATTTTTGAGTTTCATTTTTTATTTCCTGCTTTAGGGGTCAATAAATCAAATAATGAGGATAATAAATTGCATAATCAGGTAGTGGCAATAGTTTATGACTCTAACAAGGTAATTACCCGATCAGTAGCAGCCACCAAGGCTACTATGATCGGTAGCAGTAGCAGAAATGGACTACAGTAGTTAGGAAAAAAAGGGGCGAAGATAATAAGAAGTTATTTGGCATTCAAGGAAGCAAAATTACCGATAATTTTTTGGAAAGCATGTTGTCTAAAAACTGCATGAGTTTATTTTCATATTTTTATTCTTTTTTATTTTTATTTTATTAATATTTTTAACAAAGTATGAAAATGACCGAAAGCAGTTTTTTTTACTGACAACATGCTTGAATAAATATAATATAATATAAATATTTGATAGAAATGCACTGTGAGATATGTGCACTCAAATGTCGGAATATTATTGTAGTAGTAGTTTATCGTTCTCCAGATGGGGATTTTAATGTTTTTTTGGACAATATCAATATTTTGTTGTATAAACTGGCGTACAGCAACAATGTTATTATTACAGGGGATTTTAACGTTAACTTTAACGCATTGGAGAAAAATACAACCAATTTATCTGATTTATTTACAATATACGGTTATTTAAGGACAAATTTTGTGGCTACAAGGTTGCAAAATTGTTTGGATAATACATTTATTAATTTTAGCCTGGATACTTACAACTCCAGAATTTGTGACACTTTGCTATCAGATCATTTTGGTCCGTTAATTGCCAGATAACAAAGAATTTATATATCTACCGATCTTGTTAAAAATATTTTTAGACCCACCACAAGAAGGGGATGTAGTTTGTTCTTTAACTCGTTAACTCTGGTTAATTGGAATTTCCTGAATGATAATTAATTGAATTTTACCGATAAATTTGAAACATTTTTTAGTTACTTTATGGAAGCTTTCTTGGTGGCGTTTCCTGAAAGAGAAGTTAATGTGAGGAGATGTGACAATAATATAAATTGGTTCAATGATGATTTGAAAGAAAAACGTAATAGGGTGGTTTGTGTGGAGATTATTTATCGCAATTCGCAATAAGAAGTCACTTGAGTTGCAACGTTTAAGAAATCATCTTAAACGAGATTATAGGGATGCTAACGTTAGCCAAACGTTTTAGTTACGATAATTTAATCTTAAATTCCAAAAATACAATCAAAGCTGCATGGAGAATTATACATTCTTTCAGCAAAAATACTAAACCTCAGGAACAATGAACATACTTTTAGCGATTACCTTTTTCAGTCTACAAAAGTTGCTTTTCCAAATAATTTCCTATGCAAATCTTGATCCGATAGCTACTTGTAGTGCGAATATTAAACTAAATTTGGATGTATCTTTTACTTTCCACGCCGTTTCTCAAACAGCAATGCGAGATATTATTAATTTATTGAGAAATAGTAGCACTCCTGACGTGTATGGGGTGAGTACGAAGATAATTAAACATAATCGTAGCGTTCTAATTCATCCACTAACAAAATTAGTAAATTTGTCTTTTCAGTGTGGTATTTTTCCTGAACAGCTGAAAATTACAACTGTCATACCATTATATAAGAAAGGAGATAGAAAAGATCCTAGCAGTTACCGGCCACTGTCCGTACTCCCAACAGTGTCAAAAATTTTCAAAATTGCCATTTATCGACAAATGATAAAGTACTTTGAATACAATAATCTTTTCTTCAAGTTTCAGCTTGGGTATCGAAAAAATCAAAGCACTATGCCGATGCTGTCACAGCTTTTGTGAATTATATTTTAGAAAGCTTTAAAAAGGGAGAATTTGCTATGGCAACTTTTTTAGATTTTTCGAGGGCGTTCGACTGTGTATCACATGATATTTTACTTCAAAAATTAAAGACTGTCTATAATTTCGACCAGCTCAGCCACGACTTAATTGCATCGTACTTGCAAAACAGGAAACAGGCGGTGAAGATTAATGGAAGGCTATCGGATATGAAGATGATCAATTTGGGGGTTCCTCAGGGATCCATTTTGGGACCTCTTCTTTTTCTAATTTTTTTCAATGACTTCCCAGGCTATTTGTCAAATTTAACTAAGTGTCTTTTATGTGCGGATGACACCACATTACTCATAAGCCATTAATTGTTTTTATAGTACGCACACACAATTAAAGAATGTTTATAACTTGCGTCGTTTAAACGTCTAAAATTCCAAATTAGAATTTCAATTTCACCCTTAGCATATAGATGAATTTTATCATTTTTATCGCGATCATTGAAATGGTTATATATCTTCCACGAAAATGAACTATGTTTTTACTGTTGTAAGAAAATTAATTAAACCTTCCCCATAGATTCTTTAATAATATTATTATTTAAAATAATTAGACCTTCCCTATAGATCTTTAATAATATTATTATATTGACCCAATTTTAATATTATTAAAGAATTCTACGCTTAAAATCTCCGCAGCTCAGCACCGAATCGATCCCTAAAATCTCTCCGGAAGGATCCCTACTATCCTCTCTAATTAACCATTCCCATGAAATGGTTTGTTATCTTTCTGTACGACTAAAAAAATAAAAGCTAGGATAATAAAAAAATCCCACGTATGACACGTGACATTATCGATAGAGCAGATTTTCCTTTTCCTGTCTCTGGGGGGAAAAAGCACCTGCCTATTTATGCCAAGGAAAACAAACTTCTAGTTACTTGACAATCACGTTGAATTTAACGAACGTTATCAATATCTTATAAGAGCCTACCATTAAAATAAGTTTTTTGTGTAAATTTGTGTAAGTTTGAAGAAAAAATAGCATATTTTGTTTGGTGATGTGTTTTCGGCATTTTATCGAATTCTCGCTGCCTTTCCAGTCTTTCGTGATGTTAAATGTATGCAGGACGGCATCAGCACACGTCACTGAAATTTTTGCTCATTAATCGTATCATGTGGAGATCTTCGCCCAGCACTTCTGCGAGAAAAGAAGCCGTGATTATCCAAAATATTGCCAGCTTCACCACAGGAGCAAGTATGGGCAATACAGACAGTTAGATCCATACGAAGGCACATCGAAATTCTAAAAGATGAACCCTCCAAAAGAGATCCAAGGGAAGCTTATGCAAGGTGTGCCGCCAAGCACTTGATTTTTTTTCGTGTAGGGCTCGAAGACGTGCTTGATCTATTTCTGAAGGAGATGAACTGAACAAAAAATGGTGGTATGGACGTGACTGGCGAAGAGCAGCTGAAGAGTCTAAAGGGCCACCCTTTGTTAATGAAGTCCAATGTAATAAAGCTTCATCAAGGGCCAGGTGATTTGATTGTTCGATGTATAGCTGAAGATAACTCGTGCGTAAAACTCCAAGATCCGGGAGAAGAAGATATTTTGAGGGCTAAGGCTGAAGTGATTTGAAACGATGTTGAATTTATAATACTCACATTATATAACTACCCCAACTGATTCTTGAACTTGCTTCTGTACAACTTATGTGGGCTGCAAGAGATTTTGTATTTTGTGAATATACCTTACTCTCGCGGGAGTAGAATTTACTAATGAATTACTCTCCTGGTTTGGAAAACCATATTTTCTGAAAATGATAGCTGGTCATGTTCATTTAAAGGAAAGGGCTTCGCCTATTAAATTGGTTTTGGCTCACGTCCCATACACCACTCGCAACCTCTCCCTATCGATGGGAGCAAGGAGGAGGTTTACAGCTCCAACTAGAAGTTAAAGTCAGCTTAGAACTTTCTAGGAAAGGTTGTAAATGGTTCGGAAACTACTAAGGATGCTGATTAAAAAAAAATAAAATGAACCGTCCCAAGAGGGAGTGCTTGTGGTTTTGTATTTTCTCATGCAATTTTGCTTTGTTTGATGGATCTATATAAGAAGAGCGATTTTATTAAAAATCTAAATTTAAAAACTCGAACAGACAATCAATTTCTCATATGTAAAGGATAAATCCTTCAGTGTATTATAGTCCTTAAAACATAATAATCGTAAAATAATGAACTTTTATTTAAATATTCCGGCCACAACTGACCCAGCTAGAAACGAAGCGACCGAGCTTCCAGTTTGCCTTGTGGATTTCGACAAAAAGCGCATTGTTTTTCATTTTTGTGTTATTATTGTTTAAGTAGATAAAGATATCATCAAATTGCACTTTGCCTTAAGGATGGGCCATGCCTGAAAGTTATGGTAGGTGGCGATCTTTGCCCAAAATGTATTTACAATGCAAATGCACACGCAGGTCACGTGCTCACTTTACAAATAGCGAAGAAGGATTATATTAACACAAGTTATTGTTATTACCTACATACAACTTAAGACTGGAGCCAGTCTTGTGTGTGTGTCATCGTACGCCCGGTCTACTTCGGAATTCATCCGCAGTTTCTTGCTTTATTTTGAAATAATTCAAAAAATGGCACCTTGCAACGACTACTTGGAAAAAAATTTAGTTGGGAGATTAAAGCAACTTCTAGCCACACGTGAGTTAATTATTCGCGATTTTTTGAAATTTTACTTTAGTTTTTTGAAGTGTTTGTCACCAACATACACGTATTTGTGTACATTTACTGATAGACAAAGGTCTATAGTGCAGCGTAAAAGTAAACTTTCCTGCTTTCATCAAACTTAATCGTTCCTTTTTGTTTCAGTTTGTCTTGGACCGGTGACATTGGGTGTATCAATCAGCTGGACATCACCTGTACTACCACAACTCGAATCAAACGCCACCTCCTTCCATCTAACCAGCGAGGAGTCGTCATGGGTCGGATCGATGCTGGGACTCGGCGTACTAGCGGCCGCACTACCCATAGGATACCTATCGAGCCGTTTCGGTCTAAAGAAATGCGTCATCGGACTTATCCTACCACTGCTAATATTCACAGTTGTCGCCGTATTCTCGAAGGACGTGTACAGCCTCTGCATCGCGCGTTTCTTCTCCGGCATCGCAACGGGAGGAATCTGCGTGATCAGTCCGATGTACACGTCAGAAATTTCAGACGTATCGTTCAGAGGCACTTTGGGGTCGTTCTTCGAATTTTTACTTTACGTTGGGGTAGTACTGGTCGCGATCATCGGCGCTTACGTCGAGTACAAAACGCTAACCGTCATGCTGGGGATTGTCGGTTTGGCTTTGACGATGATTTTCATATTCCTCCCCGAAAGTCCGACGCATTTGATGAAAATCAATAAGAGAGAGGAGGCAGAGAGAGCGCTTCGATTTTATAGAAGCAAGAATTGTGATATTTCCGATGCAATGATGGAAATTGAGACCAGTATTAAGAGCAAGGAGAACCAGCTAAGCGTAAAAGAGGCGCTGACCAGCAGACGAGTTATACGCGGCTTAATTGCAGCCGTTGGACTTACAGTTTTCCAAAAGTTCTGCGGAGTCGACTGTATCTTATTTTATAGCGTGAGCATTTTTCAAGTAACACAGACTGGTATGAACGCGTACACTTCCACGATCGTCTTGGCCTTGGTGCAACTGGTCTCCGCCGTTTTGAATGTTTTCGTAATAGAAATGGCCAATCGCCGACTGTTCCTATTCATCTCCACAATTGGCATGGGAATATCACTTGGAGTATTGGGCATGTACTTCCAACTGAAGGAGCTTGGAATTAACTTTACCGGAATAGAAGCGATTCCGCTTGGAAGTCTGATTGCTTACGCCTTCACATTTTCCATGGGCATGGGACCGATACTGTGGATGATTAATGGAGAACTGTTCGCACCGGACGTGAAAGGGCTAGCGAATGGTATAACGATGACCTCAAATTGGATACTACTGAGCACCGTGACAAAGTCATTCCCAATAATGATGAACAATATGGGCCCTAATTATACTTTTTACTTATTTGCGGCGTCTATGTTTTTGTGCGCCATTTTTGTTAAGTTTTTCGTACCTGAGACGCGCGGTAAGACATTAGAACAAATTCAAAGTGACCTTAGCTCATAATAATTTAACTATTAACTTGTTTGTGTGTTTTTTATTCGCAAAAAACGTATCTATGTAAATAGGATTAAGTTTTTAGAAAAGATTTTTTTATCGACCACGTGTTTTCTGTTTTATCACCCGCCACCAGTTAAAAGAAGCGTCAAAACCCACATGTTAATTGAACATGAGTGCATTTTGGATTTCGCGAGCCGCAACCCTCTCCATAGTCCATAGTCATAGCCAAAAGTGTCTTAATTGACATTATGTTTGATCTTCTAGATGCTTACCTACTTGGTGGATAATTAATGGGGAGGGAGGTTTTTTACATTATCATTTATGGGTACTCTCATCTGAGATACTGTTTTTGAGATTAAAGCTTTGACATTACCAAGGGGCAATGGCTATATTTCTTCCAGATGTCTCAATCGTCCTTTGTGAGTACCTCCCTCCGACTCTATCCGCTCTTGTGATATGAGGATTTACATTAAGGGGTAGAGGACTGTATTTGGTGGAAATTAATCCCTTTCGTTGAGGATAAAACCAATTCCCCTTCCCCAACCTACCGATTTTGATCAGGGATAAGGGAGAAGGGTGGTAGTTGGTAGAAAATAGTTCCTTCCGTTGAGAGCTTTAATCATCGGTAGTTTTTTTACTAGAGCAGGTCCCTGATGGCTTCTTTCCACGACTTCTCTGCTCTTCTCTTTACTACTTCATTCCCTCTTTTTCCTCCTTCAGATCGTTAACCAATTTCCTTCTTCTTCTTATTCCTCTCTTCCCTCAGTTCCCTTGACTACTTCCTTCAACAAACTGTTCCTTCTTAATAATACATGTTCAATCTAGTCACAGCTGGGCAGTATTCGATTTTTTTCGAAAATTTTTTTCCCGGGTCGATCTGAGACAATTTTTTTGTCGGGGCTCAAAAAAGGCAGTGTATAACCTTCCTTTTTTTACCAAAAATCGACTGCACCAAAATTTCTCGGGAAAACACTTTTTCTTATTACTTTTGGTGTGTAGAATCCAAAACAATTCGTACTTTTTCGATCAGGCTTCTCAATAAAAAGTTATAGACTAGAAACGAATTTCGAAGGAAAATTCAAACGGCTGTAACTTTTGAACTAGTAGCTCAATCTTGGAACTGATTGAAATTATGGATTCTACAGGCCACTTTCTAAAAGAAAATTTTTTCCGGGTCGATCTGAGACAATTTTTTTTTCGGGCCTCAAAAAAAGGCAGTGTACAACCTTCCTTTTTTACAAAAAATCGACTGCACCAAAATTTTTCGGGAAAACACTATTTCTTATTAATTTTGGTGCGTAGAATCCAAAACAATTCGTACTTTTTCGATCAGATTTCTCAATAAAAACTAGAAACGAATTTCGAAAGAAAATTCAAAAGGCTGTAACTTTTGAACTAGTGGCCCAATCTTGGCACTGATTGAAATTATGGATTCTACAGGCCACATTCTATAAGAAAATGTTTTTTCCCGGTCGATCTCAGACAATTTTTTTTCCGGCCTCAAAAAAAGGCAGTACTTTTAAGTTATTTAAATGTTTGGGAACAATTTAGAAATGTTTAGAGAAAGCTTCCATTGTCACAAAATCAAATATAAAAATCCGATACAACTGAATATCGAACGATCCTGGAGTGAAACTTTTTGACTCGATAGTCTACGTAACTTAAAAACAATAGGGTCCTTTCTTATATCCTTAAGACCACGTGTACCAATTTTCAAAGCGATCGCTCGTTTATAAACAAGTTATCATGCACACGGACAAACGGATGGTCAAAAATGGATCCGTTCCAAAATCGCTAGGATTAATTTCTGAAAGGCGTACGTATCATGTGCACCACGTACGATCGCTTTGAAAACTGGTACACGTATTCTTAAGGATATAACTGGTATAAGAAAGGTCCTGGTAGGTACCTCCATAATAATATAGTAAAAATAATATGCTTTTACTCCCCTTAAATTTGTATATAACAATAGAAATATAAAAAAAGCTAACTCCATACGAAGTATAACTTGATTTTTTAAGTAGTATTAAGCCTTTTATCTAGAATACTATTTTAAATTTTTAATGTATTTGAGTGACAAGTATTCGAACACTTTTCAAAGTAAGATAATGAAATACTTTTCAAAGTATTCGAATACTTTTTAAAGTATTCGAATACATTCTAAAGTATTTGAATACTTATTTTTTTAAGTATTTGAATACTTTTCAATGTATCTGTATCTAGTATTCGCTTGTGCTGGACGTAAAAGTATTTAGTATTCAAATACCTTTGATTTGTGTAAAGTATTTACTATTTAATATTCAAATACTTTCTGAAAGTATTCTGCCCGGCTCTGAATCTAGTTTATCTTCCTGCGCTTTATGAACTTTAACATCTTTAATATCATTTCTCTCAATGCAAAGTCTCAGTAAAAATCCTCCTCTATTTTTTGCTATCGCTATCTTGGTTTTAATTTCTCTTTCGCTTTTCCAACCTTGTGTTATTTCTGTACCTACATAAATATTTATATTCATACCATATTTTTCTCTCTTCCAACATGTTTCCGCCCATGTCTTCTACGTATAAATTAAACAGAGTTCTTCTTCCGATATCAAACTAATCCGTCTTTTTATTTATTTATTTATTGTCCCTCTTGTTCTAGGCCCTCAGCAGCCAAATTGCCGAAAACGCCCGAACGTCGAGTGGCGCAGGATAATTGAAACATATAAAAAATGGCCGCTGTGGCAGCCTTGATGTAATTACTATAGATTAGGGACCACCCGAGGGAGTGAAATTTGCTCCTAACGTAAAAAAAATTGTTTAATCCCCACGCAAAAAACGTTTCAATTTCTTATGCCCGTCAAAACGTTAAAATTCACATTCTGTAGCAACAAACAAGTGGCATTCATTTAGCGACCGTCTGAGGGGGTAAATCTGCCCCTAACGTATAAAAAAATTCGTTTAACCCCCACGCAAAAAGGCTACAAATTCTCATGCCCGTCAGAACGTTAAAATTCACATTCTGTACCACACAAAAAATTGGCATTCATTTAGCGACCGTCTGAGGGGGTGAAATCAGCCCCTTACGTACAAAAAATTCGTTTAACGCCCACACAAAAACGGCTTCAAATTTTCATGCTAGTGACGTTAAGACTTATATTTTTGTACTACTTAAAAAATTATTTCGATCCCAATTTGATGCTCTTTTGGAGACCGGTACATATTGATCCAAACACTATGTTTTCACAAGAAAGACCTTTTTGCTTTATAATCACTATAAATAACAATAGTTAGTTTATAAATTGGCTTTATCTTTAGAAAACGTCAATTTTAAAGAACACTTACTATTTACAGATTAACTTTTAAATACACGTGTACCTCATGGACCTTATATTTTAATACAGCCACGAACTCAATAAATCACTTAATAAATGTTTGAAAATTCACTGGGGGATGTTTTATGTAAAAAAAGAGATTTTGTCACACTTAGAGGAAACAAATCCTAGAGCTGCGCATCGTAGTAGCATTCCCGTCAATAATCCTTTTGAGTACTGTCGAGGGTGGCAAGATTACCCCGACGGTCATGGATTCGAGGGTAAGTAAGATCCCCCATCCATACTTGGTTTAAAGCAATCACGACTTTTAGATTATTATACCGCAACTACCCGGCGGCAATCTTTTTTTGCCAGTGTTGAGGGTAGAAAGATTAACCCCAGCAATCAATTCTTTTCATAAGCTCACACATCATTGTTTTATCCCATATCCCATATAATAGTAAATGTGACAAAACCTGGCGAAAATTGTTATTTGGGTAAGGTTTAATGCAACCAAAGGAAAGTTTATAAAATAATACTATTATTGAATCAGAACAGCCAAAATATCTGAAATCGAGGGTTATAATTTAATCTTATAAACATTTAAAACAACCGAACACTAAACCTACATTTTTAGCGCATTTTTGAAAAAAATACGCTATTATATTCGTTATTGCTGGCAGGCCGGCTGTCCGCGTTAGATCTCCACAACTACAATAGCTAGAGACTTCAAATTTTCACTAAAAGCTTCCTGCTATAGTGTAGATGTGCAGGCACTAGTCTATTTTGAGTTAGATTACTTGTGAGATCGATAATTGAAGAAAATAATTTCGATATGGGTTTCGGAGGTGCTATAATTTTACCGTTAGATAGCGCTACCAGTATAAAAACTTATTATTTACTTTGTGATTTGTTTTACAAAATGAAGACGTACCGTCAATTGAAATGAAATAAAATTAATTATTTAACGCAGCCAAAATTACTCATGAGATCGATAATTTTAAACTTCGCTAATAAAATACTCACCTGCATTACCAAAAATGCGCTTTAATCATGCATATGCTGATTTACAACTTGTTTACTTATAATTACACAAGCGGTTTGTTTATTGAAAAAATTTGGGTTGTTTAATGAGAAACTGCTGGACTATTTTTTGTATCAAATTGCTAAAGGAACTGGTGAAAGTGTAAAATCAGGAGATGTATATATGCTACGGTTAATACGGTCATTATTCATAATAATCAATGTGCTTAATTGAATAATTTCGAGTGGTACAAAATATGAACGTTTTGTTTTTTTTGTGGTATAAAAGGTAAATCTTAACGTTTTGACAAGCATGAGAATTTAAAACCTTTTTTTGCGTGGGGGTTAAACAAATTTTTTTTTCTATTTCGGTGTTACAATGAGAATTTTGTGCAACTGTTTTCGGCAAAAACAGTGTTTCAATGAGTTCCATTGTAACATTGTTTTTGGTAACTTTTCATCTCTAAGTTGGCAGTTCGCCAAGACGTCAACGTCAAATCATCAGATGTGAAATCAAATTACGTACGTAAAATTTATGTGTTTTCCTTGATTTTTGGTACACGAAGAACTTAATACATTCCAAATCAGCAGTTTACACATCCACCATAAATAAATTTATCTAGGAGTAAAAAATTACACATTCACGGAATTTAAAGTTTCCAAATGTCAGTGTTGTGTTTATCTACGCTGCCAACTTAAAATTTGTCAACGTAAATGGTGTTGCCAACTTAAGACATATTAATTCTTAAGTTTCCTATAGTTTTTGATAATTAATTTTTAATTAAATTAAAGCCCCGAAATAGAAAAAATAGTATGAAAAACACGTGTTACAATGCTTTATTGTAATCCTCCTATCTTGTGGACACTCGTGGCTCCGCTTCGCTATGCCACTCGTGCCAAAAGATAATCGTATTACAATAGGTCACATTGTAACACTTGTCTTCCAATATACTATTTTCTTGAGCTTTCCCATTTACAAACACATTAATTTTATCAATAAGAACTGCGAAGAAACTGTCATTTAACAAACAAATCTTAAATTCAAATTGCAAATCTAATACTCTGTGGAAAATCATTAATAAAAATAGTAAATCATCTAAAATAAATAATGTCTCCAGCATAACTATCGACGGAATCGAAGTTACAAACAAGACTCTCATATCTAATGAATTTAATAACTATTTTATCAATTTACCGAAAGAACTATTTTCGTCACAACAAAACAACAGAACTGACCTTGTCACTCTTCACTGGATATTGAGCAAAAGTACTTACATTCCATAAACCCGAAATCTTTCTTCGTTATTAGACCGGTTAGCGAAACAGAAGTTTTAAATGTAATTAATAATTTTAAAAATACGCACTCTTCTGGTCCATATTTAGTTCCTGTCTCAATTTTAAAAAAGAGCGCACTTTTAATAGTAAAACCACTAACTCTATTAATAAATGAATGTTTTGAAAATGACTACTTTCCAAATGAACTAAAAATTTCTAAAGTAATTTGTCTTTTCAAAAAAGGCAACCCATACTCGATGAGTAACTATAAGGTTATCTGTTTTTTCTAAAGTTTTTGAAAAACTCTTGACTCAACAGATCACTAACTTCTTAGAGACAAACAATCTATTTTCACCGCAGCAAGACGGTTTTAGAAAATCTAGATCTACATCACTTGCTCTCTGCAAAATTTTGGACAAAATTTACACCGAACTTGATTCCGGTAACAAAGTGTTCGCACTATTTGTTGACCTGCAAAAAGCATTCGATTGTGTGGATCACACAATATTGCTGCAAAAAATTGAACGGTATGGGCTGCGAGGCAAAATAAATAATTTGTTAAAAAGCTATTTAAACGGGAGAAAACAATTTGTAGAATATTTAAAAGCTACATCTGCATTGCGTGAATTTGATGTTGGTGTGCCCCAGGGTAGCATCTTAGGGCCCCTGCTGTTTATACTCTATTGCAACGATTTAGGTCAATGTATTAGTTCCCATTACACAGCTTTTGCGGACGATATAACTTTGTTGTTTTCGGAAAACGATTTAGAATCCCTGACAGATTCGATATCACCATATCTTGAAACATTAGATGCTTTCCTTAGCGAAAATAAACTAATTTTAAATATTGATAAAACCTACACAATGCAATTCCTTATGCGTCAACATCTTTATACGGAAAGAACATTAATCAGGAAAAATAACAAATCTATAGAGCAAGTAGCCTCAATGAGATTACTGGGTATTGAACTTGATATGTCTCTAAATTGGAAACAACAAGTGTGTACTGTTGCACAAAATTGTGCTAAGAATTGTTATGTTTTGAAAAGGTTAAAGGAAATCACTGACTTGCACGTAGTCAAAACTTTTTATTCCTCAAATTTTGAATCATTACTGAGATATGTAGTTCTTTGGGGTAATTCAACAAACGTTAGACGAATATTTCAATATTTATTCTACAGAAAAGAGCAGTAAGGCTAATGTTCAATCTAAGCTTTCGTGAGTCATGCAGAGAGACTTTTATCAAAGAGAAGATACTTACTTTCCCGTGCATATACAAATTGGAAGTATTGAAATTTGTTAAAAACAGTATCCGAGATTTCAATGAGCTAAATTTCATTCTTATAACACAAGGCACGGCAATGATCTAGCTATAAACAACCATCACACTAATTTATTTAGGCAGAACCCGTATTATATGGGCGCGATAATATACAACAAACTTCCCCATGGAAATAAAACCGCATGCCGGACGCCATTTTAAAAACACAGTAAAAAACTTTCTAGTCAACCATGCATTTTATTCCATCGAAGAGTATTTCAATCATTCATTTTAACTCTTGTGATTTCTTTATGTGTTTGTTACTTACTTATAGAATATTATTGTCTTTTACCGTTATATGTACGTATTTTATTGGTTACATTTGGTTTAATTTGACTTGTCCTATATCCAGAAATTGTGATCTATTGGATTAATAAACATTATTATTATTATTATTAATTTTATCTTTTACAAGTGGTAGGTATCAGAAACGAGAATTAAATGAAATAAGTGTTTGCTGAGGACTTTTAGTATGATAACAATATTTGCACACTTCATGACGCTCAACATGCACGGTAATTGCATGCACAGTGTGCACTAATTGGCGTCAAACACAGACAAAAAAATCAAACAGCTGCAACAATAGGATGAGAAGGGGGACCGAAGGCATGAAATTGCAACGCGTTAACCTAATGATCTTTTAAATAAAGATTAATAGAAATAGATCTCATTCATGATGCGTTGCAATCCACACTTAATTTTCATACAATATTAATGCATATTTCCTGACTGGTGTCAGTTTTATTTACTTCTGAAAATAACGTATCGTGCAGTCCAGATGCCAGAAAACGATTACTTGGGAAAAAGTGTGCTGGGTAGATTGAAACAGCTTCTAGCATCACGTGAGTAATTTATAAGTCCATCCATATCAAACCCATAGGCCATTTGTTACAGTTTGTCTTGGCCCGTTTTCCCTGGGCGTTTCGGTAAGCTGGACGTCACCGGTATTGCCGCAACTCGAATCAAATTCATCCTCCCTTCATCTGACAAAGGAAGAATCGTCGTGGGTGGGTTCCATTTTGGGCTTGGGAGTATTGGCGGCTGCCGTACCTACCGGTTACTTGGCGAGTCGTTTTGGTCCAAAAAGATGCGTCATCGGGTTAATAATCCCAGTACTGATTTTCACCATAGTTGTCTCATTCTCCGAAGACGTTTACAGCCTATCCGCGGCGCGCTTCTTTTCTGGTGTCGCAACCGGTGGAATTTGCGTGGTTAGTCCTATGTACATGTCGGAAATTCACGACGTGTCATTTAGAGGTACGCTAGGGTCGTTTTTTGAGTTTGTCATTTACGTAGGGGTTGTGACTGTTGCAATTGTCGGAGCTTACGTTAAATATACCACGCTGACGATAATCTTGGGGGTGATCGGTTTGGTTTTGGCCTCCATTTTCGTATTTCTGCCCGAAAGTCCGAACTACCTGATGAGGAATAACAGAAGGGAGGAGGCCGAGATGGCCCTTAAATTTTACAGAAGTGCAAAGTGTGATGTTTCCGGTATTATTGTTGAGATTGAAAACAGTATCGGAGGAAGACAGAGACAGTTGAGCGTAAGAGAGGCGCTTAGAAGTAAGCGGGTAGTTCGTGGACTAACGGCAGCTGTTGGTATGACGATTTTTCAAAAATTTTGCGGAATCGACAGCATGATCTTTTACACGGTGAATATTTTCCAAATTGCAGAGACTGGAATGAACGAGTACACCTCTTCTATTATCTTCACTTTGGTGCAATTAGCGGGTGCTGTACTGAACGTGTTTGTGGTGGAAATGGCGAATAGACGAACGTTTTTGTTCATTTCCACCATTGGCATGAGCGCGTCTCTCGCAGTACTGGGGATGTACTTTCATATGAAGGCGTACGGAATCGATTTTACCGGAATTGGGATAATTCCACTGACAAGTTTGGTGATTTATGCGCTGTCTTTTGCTAGCGGCATGGGACCAATTCTGTGGCTAATTAACGGAGAGCTCTTCGCTCCAGATGTCAAAGGGTTGGCGAATGGTGTAACCATGACCACAAATTGGGTCCTACTCAGCGTTGTTACAAAGTCGTTTCCCATTATGTTAAAAAATATGGGGCCTAATTACACATTCTATTTTTTTGCGATATGTATGATTGCTTCTGCAGTTTTTGTTAAGTTTTCCGTACCGGAAACGCGAGGAAAAACTTTACAGCAAATCCAAAATGAACTAGATTATTGATTTTATTGTTAATTATTATTAGAAACCATGGTGTTTTATAGTCTAATATTTATACATAATACTTTTATAGTAAAAATATAACATTTATCTAAAGCCTCATTACGAGTATACTGCCATCGAATTATGACCGTAGAGCCTTTACAGGGCAGTTGTAAGAATCGAACCCTTTAAAGATAAAAAAAGAGAAATCTTACTTACGCAAGATGCCAGAGCTTTTAATGAACTTAGGTTCTTTAAACGATTTTTACTCACTACAAAAAAGTACTTTGGAGCAATTTTCCTTTGATTTCGTTGGAGCTTACCATGGGGTTGAAACCATTCTTTGGAGATATGATTTTGATGACCGAAAAGGATTATTTTGTTTCCACCTTGTTTCTTAATAACATATTGTAAACGAGATGGGCTATTAGTTCAAAAGTTACAGCCCTTTGAATTTTATTTCGAAATTGGTTTCTAGTCTATAACCTTTGATTGAGAAGTCTGATCGAAAAAGTACGAATTGATTTTGATTCTACGCACCAAAATTAATAAGAAAAAGTGTTTTCCCGAGAAATTTTGGTGCAGTCGATTTTTGGTAAAAGAAGGAAGGTTAGTATTCAAATACTATGCGAAGTATTCGAATACCTTACGAAGTATCCAAATACTTTGCGAAGTATTAGAATACTAAATATTTGTGAAAGTATTTGAGTTACAAATATAAATACTGCTTCCATAAAAGTATTTACAAAATCGAATACTGCCCAGCTCTGGTTGTAAATAATTTTATCTACTTTAAATCTCAGCAAACAACTTAATGTTGCAATAACAGTAAATCCATCTGTCAGTAGCTGAGGTTTATGCTATCTAAATAGATCATTATATGCACATCACTCGTGTGGTGATACGAGGAGTCGTTTTTATATTCCCGGACTGAGTTTTTTTGAATTTTGGCGCAATTTTTCATTACGCTGTTTTTTAATCGCATGTATGAAAACATAATCGAAGTAGGAAGAATAGATGGGAACATTAATATTGGCTGGTCTACAATGAAACGACAATAGAAATTTTGCTGTGACTGTCAATAATACGAATGAAACTTTAGTGTTGGCCCATTATGACGTATGGGATTGGGGCATTGATGGTGGTGCCACACTTTCATCTACATTCTCATCCTTCAGTTTAAAGAAGAATAATCTTGGCTGATTCAGAAGAATGCTGCGTTGAAAAGGCTGTAAAAAATTAAACAAACGAAATAGGTACCTACTCGTGGCTCACTTCGAACATCCATAGAAATTCAAGGTTTTAGGCATTTCTAAAGGCTAAGAACGCAAAAACTCAAAAAAATTTGAAATTGAGAATAGGTTAACAATAAAGGTAAATTGGCCATTGAAATCATAGCAATTAATTGTCGGACCGTTTCAATTATGGACCCTGCTGGTGCGCGAAGGAAAGATGAGCTAACTAATTTGCTAAATTTCAACATTAAGGACGAAGGTCATATTTTCCATGGTACACTAATATCTTGCGTGAATCTGAATAGTCCGAAGATATTGACAACTTATTTAATTTATTATTATTATTTTTTTAATCCATTTTCATAAGTAATTCAATCCAACATTAATACTGCTTGTTTTTTAAGTGAATTCCTTGTTTTAATCTGATTTAATTACATCACTGGTAAATCAGTATGAGAAAAAAGGGGGAAACAGACAGAGTAATTAACAAAAAGTCTCAATCCTTATTTGTTTGTTTATCATTAGTAGAATTGCCATAAATAAATCCGTAAATAATGTAATTAATACGTTTATTACCATAGGAACAATAATAATCAAGAAATTTGAGTGTCAGACATGTTCTTTGTGAATGCCCAACGTATAACATACAGAGAATGCAAGTAGGTATACCAGAAACGGAACCAGAAATTTTTCGTGATGAGAAGCGTGCAATAGAAACTTTAATGGAACATTTAAAAATAACGGGGCTAATAAAAAGAATCTAAAGGCAAATAGTTACAGTTAGTTTACAAATAAAGGCAAATGACCATAGCAGTCGAGCCTTAAAAAAAATCAAGAACTGAAGTATCTATTTTGACAAACTGAAACTAACTTGATCTAAAAGTTCAGACTCTTACACTATCGTTTCTTACCCCCTTCGGATCAAGTTTCTATGTTTTTTCCTTTGGATTCACTTAAATGTTTCACATTTGGTTTCCGCCCCGACCAAACTTCTTCGGCTGTTTTTGTTTTCAAATGGTAAACGATTCACAATTCAACGCAGAACTCACAGTTTCGTCCCAATACTTCTTCCCAGGATTGTAATGAATCAGCATGCATCTTACAGCCAAATTGACATTTCCAACAAATTGTCCTTTTACTGTAGAGTACATGCCTTTCACGTATTGCATGTACTTTAGGTGAAAGGAAATCAGATTGGAAGAGATAGAAGTATCAGATTTTATCGATAACTGTACCAGTCAAAATTCACAATTAATCTAATTCAAGCTCTAATTTAAAATTTCAAAGATTAAATAAGAGCATTAAATTTGAAGTTAACCCCTAAAGCGTATAACTAATTTCACAGGTTCCATTTGAGAAACTCAAAATCCGTGGTTTAATTAAAAATCAAATTTATGACTTAAGTTAAGATTTATGAGTTAAAAAAATGCAAACAAAGACCTTCAAAATTACTACCAAAGTTGTAAAGTGAATTATTCTAAATAAGTGAAATGACACACTCACTTTGTTACCCCCTTAATAAAAATCACTATAAGTAACAAAAAAGAAACTAAACTGCTTCACTACGTTCACGGTAAAAACTGGAAAATATGATTATGGTTATTTAATTAAACGAACAATAAATCTGCCAGAAGCGAATTACGTCTCCTAAGCGGATAACAACAGAATCTAAAAAAGAGTATCCTGGTGTGTTTTTCGAAATCTTATTCATTTCCCGCTTGGCAAATATTAGATATTTGACGGATTATTTAAAGTAAGATAATGCTGAAGTCGGTAACTATGCCGTCACATTTTATTTAGCGAGCCCGAATTATATAAAAAGACAAATTAACCTAGGCCAAATTACATTCTTATCAAGTGGGTGTGAGCGTGAGCCCAGAAAAAATGCAAAACACTCTCGCGTCGAAGGGGAACGATTTAATTCCCAAAGCGAAACAGTTCATTGCAACTGGTAAGTGTCATTGATAATATCTGCTGTCGATATTGACTATTTCCATAGTTTGCCTGGGACCGGTTACTCTTGGTGCATCGCTCAGTTGGACGGCGCCGGTTTTGCCTCAGATGCAGAGCGAAAACTCGACGTCCTACATCCACTTGACCACCTCCGAAGGTTCGTGGGTTGGGGCAATGGTTGCGATCGGTGTGCTGATCTCCGCCTTACCTTCCGGGTACTTGGCCGACCGGTACGGCGTGAAGAAGATTACCATCGGCCTGGTTTTACCGGTGCTTCTATTCACCGCGATTGTTGTTTTCGCAAGGGACGTGTACGTGCTGTGTCTCGGCCGGCTCCTGTCTGGAATAGCAACCGGAGGAATATCGGTAGTTGGCCCGATGTACATTTCCGAAATTTCCGACGTATCGCTACGCGGAATGTTGGGATCGTTTTTCGAATTTTTGATTTATGTTGGAGTTGTCGTCGTCGTCACGTGCGGTGCTTACGTGCACTACGTCACGTTGACTCTAATCTTGGGAACCTGCGCGTTGGTATTGGGGATTGCCTTCATATTCCTACCCGAAAGCCCTACGTACCTAATGAAGCGCAACCGTAGAGATAAGGCGGAAAAGGCGCTGAGGTTCTACAGACCTGAAAACTATAACATTGACAAGGCCCTGGATGACATTTATGTATGCGTGAACCAAGAGTACAGGAAGCCAAGTATTCGAAAGGCCTTACAGTCCCGAGCGGTTGTTCGTGGGCTCATCGCCGCAGTGGGGTTGACCATCATTCAACAGCTAAGTTGTATAGATGGCGTCATATTTTACACTGTTCAAATCTTTCAAGCTGCCGGTACTGATCTCGACCCGTTTATATCGTCCATTATTGTTGCGGTCGTCGAGCTCTTATCGGCTGTCATAGTGCTATTCATGATTGAAAGAGCCGGACGGAAAGTTTTTCTGTACATATCCTGTTTAGGCACTGGGGTTTGCCTAGGAGTCCTAGCTCTGTACTTTCATCTCAAGCTCTATAATATTGATTTTCCTGGCATGGATGCGATACCCTTAGCAAGTATCGTGATATACGCGTTTTTGTTCTCCGTTGGTCTCGGACCCGTGCCCTACATGATTTACGGGGAGCTATTTGCATCAGAAGTTAAGGGCTTGGCCATTGGAATTACAATAACAACGAACTGGACGTGTCTATTCATTATTACCAAAACTCTACCTGTGATGATGAGCGATCTTGGATCGCACATACCGTTTTATATGTACTCTATTAGCGTAATATTAAGTGTGGTATTTATTAAGTTCTACATTCCTGAAACGAGAGGTAAATCTCTGGAACAAATACAAGAAGAACTAGGAAGCTCTAAAGGAGCGATTCAGGAATGCAATAGTTGTTAAGTGTAAATGACTGATTTTTTATACTAATAAATTATGAGATACTTTTTTATTCCTTTGTCTATTTTAAAGCTCTCTGCAGACGGGGACAATAGTGGCGTCCAGTAGTACTAGCCATTAATGGAGGCCAGTAATTATCCCTCTATTGTCCTCGTGTGCAGGGGTATTGCCGCTCCAACGTCCAGTAAGCTACTGGCGGCCACCAAAGTCAAACAGGTTTGAGTTTAGTGGACGCTGGGAGGGCTAGTTCGGGTCACGTGACCTAGTGGCTGCCATTATTGGACGTTGCTAAATGGGTACTGGCTGCCAGTGCGTCGCCGGACTCTGCTGGGAGAGGAACTAATTCAGTGTTTTTGTTGCAAAATGTGTTCCAAACCTGAGGAAGTGAAGACGAGACCAAATGGGACCCCGCTGGACCTAGCCCCCCCCCACCATTGTGAATCAATTTAAGAATGGTATCCAATTTATGAGCTATTTAGGAGCTTTTCATACCGCAAGCTTAAAATTTTAGAGCTCGCTTTAATCACTAGGAATCGAACATTTCTTATGGGGTGGCCGAGTCTACTTGGACTCAGCCCCCCCACTGATCAGAATTACTTTTTTCAAATTAAATTTTGTATTGGAATTACGAGCTATTTAAGAGCTTTCATTTACAACCAATTTCGATTTTTGAGCGCCACTCCTAAAAGAGCAAATAGATATAATCGATGGGGCGGCCAGCTCCACTTGGACGTAGCCCCTCCTGTGTTATGGTTTACTTATTTCAAATTAATTTTTATGCATGAATTACGAGTTATTTAAGAGCTTTCATTTACAAGTAATTGCAATTTTTGAGCGTCACTCTTAAAAAGAGCAAATAGATGTCATCCTGGGAGCGGCCAGGTCTATTCTGGCGTAGCCCCTAATCTGTTTTTCTTTATTTATTACAAATTAATCTTTGTCCATGAATGACGAGTATAATTACCTATATAAGTAAGTTTAATTTTGGAGCTCCACCCTCAATAGGTCAAATAGTCAATCGTTGAGGGCGGCCAGGTCCATTTCACAGTAGCCTTACCTCTGAGCTACCGGTTAGTTGCATGAGCACGTACTCTCTGTGAGTTTTGAGTGCATTTGTTTGTGTAAAAAGTGAAAACTTGGGGTGGTTTTGAATGTTTTCTCATCAGTGTTAGCAGCTAATCGGACCGATCTATGTCTTCTTTTGAACTATTGCGGAATCCAGAAGCGTTTCGTTTGGGTCGTAAAAACCTAAATTCCAAGAGTCAGAGGGCCGAAGTAGATGCGTGGCTGAATAGATGATCAGCAACTACTGGCTCCAACTTCGGAGCACCGGGCGCCACACCGTTGTATTAAGTCGCCTTAGAAGTGTGCAAGGGGCTCGACGCGTGCGGACATTTCTTTCCCCCATACTCGTGGCACTCTTATGGCCCAAGAAAAAACAGAAAACACAACAAACTACTCCGAGAGCACCGGCATTAAAGAGCCTAAAAAACTCTCCGGGGCGGCGCACCGAAAGCTAATAGGAGGAGGCTCTCGGTAAGATCAAAGCCTGGATCCTTGACAGAGTCGACGCTTTTCCCCAATTTACGGAATGTCGGCACGAGGGAGAACCTGTTTAAGATGATAATCCCCGCTCGATACGAATGGGAGGGTTATACCAGTATGGTAAAGCTGAATGGAATCGTGCATTACACAAATGGCTCAAAAACTACGGAGGGCACCGGCTGTGGAGTGTACGGAAGCAATTGACAGGGCTTCAGAATTTAGGACAAAAAGCAACCGTGCTCCAAGCCGAGGTATACGCAATCCTGACTGCAGTTGCTCAATTATATTAACAGAAAACCTTACTAAAAGGAAAATCTTTAGAGTAACAGACAACAAAGCACCGAGTGCAGGATTAGACTCATATGTAGGCGATTCAGGACTTTTCCTTGGATGCACACAGAGGTACTAAACGCACTAGGAAGCTCTAACACAGTCACAAGTGGAACTGGCCGCCCCATCGATTATATCTATTTACTCTTTTAGGAGTGGCGCTCAAAAATCGAAATTGGTTGTAAATGAAAGCTCTTAAATAGCTCGTAATTCCAGTACAAAATTTAATTTGAAAAAAGTAATTCTGATCAGTGGGGGGGCTGAGTCCAAGTAGACTCGGCCACCCCATAAGAAATGTTCGATTCCTAGTGATTAAAGCGAGCTCTAAAATTTTAAGCTTGCGATATGAAAAGCTCCTAAATAGCTCATAAATTGGATACCATTCTTAAATTGATTCACAATGGTGGGGGGGTTAGGTCCAGCGGGGTCCAAATGGGAGTGTGAAATGGAGTGCGGACCATATAAATACATTTTTAGACATTTAGGTACGTAAATTACGAACTGCTATGGAACGTCCGTAATGCTGATTATACCAACAAGACGAAGAGGGAGAGTGCAATAATGAAGTTATTAAATGAATTAATAGAGGTAGGGGTTGCAGTGCCCGACTTGAGTTTTTTGAGAGCTCGTATAAAGGCAATAAAGGCCACATATCGGAGTGAACTTCTGAAGTACATAATACTGGAAGCCAATACTGCCCTCATGTGGAAGCCTACTGTTCAGCCAGTTCACTGGCTGCCACTTCTGGCCGCTAGTACTGGACGCCACTATTGTCCCCGTCTGCAGAGAGCTTTAGTGTCACCTCCATATGCCAATGTTAAATTGGACCTAGTTCGAATTTCCAGTCAAATTCCTTCAAATTTCTGTTTTCTACGGCAGAGTAGAGCCACAAAACAGTATTTGGGGATGGTCCCGAATGTCTCTCAATTGCACGGTGACTTTGCCAGAAAGCCCTATTTGCTTTTTCGGCTTTGGGCTGGATATATTTGGTTCAATTCAGTTTTTTTGTCAAGTGTGATTCCTATGTATTTCACTGTCTCTGAAAATTGGAGGTGTTCTTGTAATAGCAGGGAAGTCCGAAGACCCTCTACCTTTCTTTCTCTTGTGAACAGAACTGGATCCGTGTTTGTCGGGTTGCTGGAGAAGTAGTGTTCCATACACCATTCTTCGATTACTCTAAGAGCTTAGTCTTGGTGTACTGCAACAAAGTTTGAGGGATACTCTGGGACGCTCTCTTTGGCTAAGGTTTCTTTGTGTCAGTATCCATGGCAGACGAATGAAATTTTGTCTTCCCAGCTCTACAGCCACCACGGGACCCAATAAGGGAACGTCTATCCAAACGCCAAGGCTACCAGGAGAATATAGCTTCTGGAGGGTAGCAGAAAACAGAGCTGGTTCCACTTCGAGGTAGGTCATTTGAGAACGGCCTACCTTCCGCTAGTCAGTTTTCCGCCGGTAGCCCTCTAAATGCTCACGCAGTTGGCGGTCTGACCCGACAGCAGAGCCGATTGATCATGGTGGGTTAGCCATGACCTCCCGTCTTATGCAAAATTCCCGCCGCAGAAGTGTGTTGTCACCACTCCAGATAACTCAATTGCCAGGATCCGTACATCCGCTATTACGAGCCCCCTCGAACGGCACAAAGACGGGGGTGTTGTCTTTAGTTTGCATTCTCAGTTGGGACCGACATATGCCGGCTCGAACATGGCGATACACGCCCTCTTGGTTACTCAACCACGACAAGGCCCCACATTGAGAGGGAGCCCACCTGTTGAAGGAGAAGCTGATCTAGACTTCGAGAAATAATCTTGAGTTCGTTGCTGAATGGAGGATGGTCAAAGAGTGATATTAGATTTACCAAATGACAGAGTTGGGTACTGCTCGCTTCAAAAAACGCCCCAAGCGGCACTTTTCGAAGCGGGCGTGCTCGATACTCAAGTGTTTACTTAAAGTGCTCGAGAGCTTTTTTCTGAACGCGAGCAGTTTTTTTGGCCATGAGCGTTTTTTATCGCTCACAAGCTCTCTTTTCGCTCGCAAGATATTTTTCCGCTTCTGAGCGTGTTTTTTTCGCTCCCGGGCACTTTCTCCGCTCGCGAGCGCCTTGTCGCCCCCGAGCGTTTTGTTTTTTTCTGCTCGCGAGCGCTTTTTTCTGCACGCGAGCGGTTTTTTTTGTCATGAGTGTTTTTTATCGCTCACAAGCTCTTTTTTCGCTCGCAAGATATTTTTCCGCTTCTGAGCGTGTTTTTTTCGCTCCCGGGCGCTTCTTCCGCTCGCGAGCGCCTTGTCCGCTCCCGAGCATTTTGTTTTTTTCCGCTCGCGAGCGCTTTTGGTGCTTCTAAAAGCGTGCTTTTTTTTGCTCGCTCGCGCCTTGTCTGCTCCCGAGCGTTTTTTTCGCTCCCGAGCGTTTTTTCCGCTCACGAGCGCTTTTTCGGCTTTTGAGCGTTTCTTTCGCTCACGAGCATTTTTCCCGAGCGCTCGCGATAAACCGCTCGAGCACTTTTAGGGTGTACCTGTTGTTGAACTCCCTAAATTCGGCGGGAAACTAGAAAACTGACTTGGATGGTGGGCGCAGTTTGAAAAATTGGATGAGAATCTACACGCAAGACAAATTTCGCGCTCTTGTGAAATACATGGAAATTGGAATCGAACCTACCCCTTCACAACAACAATTAAAGATGGAATGGTAGGAGGGGACCCAGAATAAAAGCAATATTCAAGAACTCAATGTTCCCACAGCCTCCAGATTGTTATACCATGTAGTGGGGAAGGATTTCTGTATTTTTGTGTGCTGAAAATCACGACTCTGCCAAATGTTGGAAATCGAAAGAGATGACTTATGAAGATAAGCAGAAAATAATGATTGATAAAAATGCTTGCTTCATGTGCTAGAAAATTGGCCATCCCTCTAGGAAATGCAAGAAGAAAGGCCGATGTTAGTCATGAAACCGCAGTCATTATCCAATATTGTCCAATGTTATAAGTCATGGTGGGAGAGAATGTCCAGCAGAATGTGAATCATCAGTGCACTCCCAGTATCCTCCGAAACACTTAGCTAATATTGTTGATAGAACCGGGAAAGCAACTTTAGATTCAGATAATTGAAGACACTGCAGTTATATAACTGCTGGAGCAGCGCAACAAGGAAATTCTGTAAAAATTGGAGAAGAATTGACACTATTTTTGGGTGGACCCTTGGGGACGATTGGGGAAGTTAACCACGTCTATGGCTAACACAATCGTTTCATTGCTCACAACCCCGACAGACCTTTCTGACTTATGGAATCTGGAGACCATCGGCATAAACCCAATAAACAAGAAGTCAGAGGGGGAAAGCGACACGAATGCTGGTAATTTTTCTACAAGACAGTTGAGTGGGAAGATGCTGGAAGGTACATTGTAGCCCTCCCTTAGAATGAAGGAGAGGAGTATCTCTTCACACTGAAACGCCAACAACAAGAAACTAGTGACTACGGTCCCAGTGTTAAATTTGTGGGAAAATATTACGCAGATGTCTGAAAATTAAGGACAGTGCTACTCTAGGTGCTACTCATCCCATGGGGCCAGTTTTTGACGCATCATGTCATGTTCAAGAAGAATTAATTTAATGCATCTCTTGCGAAGGGACCCAATTTAATTTCTTCCGTCATGGAGCCAAGCCAATGGACTCACCTCTTGTCCTTCCAGAACGAAAAATCTGCGCACAACATAAAAGCATAAACAAATTTATTTCACTTAAGTAGAGAGCCTAACTTTTACTCTTAACATATACATTTCCTCTATGAGCTAAGCATGCGCGCAATACCTCTTGAGCGACATGTGTTGTGCCATGAGGAGGCCGAGAAATTCTAAAACAAAGACTCAGAGTTGAACCTAAGAGGAAATCTACTCACAAGTGGAATGTATTGATTCCATCACACAACAGCACAGTTGCTTCATCAGTTTTACCCTCCTTAACCAAATCGTGTGCGTCTCCATAGTTCTTCTGAACCTCCTTCAAACTCTCCAAGAAATCTACCATTGACACGTTCTTCTTGCATCTGGGACACCGCAGCTTCTCATTCGAGAGAGGAAGAGTAAAAAAATTCGTGCACTTGTCATTTGGGCATCTAAAACGCAAACTCTGAATCACATCGACTCTCTTTCCCAATACCGCAAACGATTAGTTATCGTTTCCAATCCGGTCTCGAAACTAGGCCAATCTTGCGAGCATGCCTCGCATTTACATTCGAACCAGTATCTGGAGCTTAACGCTTTTTGTCTGGATATCAGGGGCTTCCTGGTAAAGATCGGACCATAATTCTCCGCAATTACGTCTCCAAGTTTTAACGGCCGAACGGCGGTGATTACAATACTTCTTCCCACAAAGTGCCTGAGAAATTGACATCAAAAGTCATATCAAATCATACTCACCGAGTAACCGCCGGATAGCACTCGTGATTAAAAAGAGCGACTGTAGGATACAGGGCAACAGCAATGTAGCCAATTTTTGCATTTTCCAGCTCGTTCTCTTGCTCATAACGGGTCTCGTATATTTCGTGAGCATTAAACTGAAGCATCTCCAAATTGTACAGTAGTAACTCCCCAATTTTCTGCTCTTCTTCATTTGGGACGTCTGAAGCGTGAACAATTTAAATTAGCCCAAACTGGGTGATTAGTACCGTCGTCATTTCCTTCCCCATCAATAAAGTAATTCGTTTTCTGCAAGCATCTCAAGAGAAAGGCCGCCATTAGGGTCCTTTGCAAGAAGTCTTCCGGTGGTCTTAAGTGTGCATTGGTGCAGAATGGTCGAGATTCCTCGTATTGGCTCAGAGATTCTTTCAATGTCGTTTGGGATACCATCCGTAGAGCCATATGACACAAAACGCTCATGCCGGAACCGATTAGAAGATCGAGAATGTGACATTCGTATTTGTGGTATGTTTCCAAGGCGGCATCCCGACATTCTGACTTACAAAACGCGATACTGGCACAGTCTGTGCATCCGACTGGCGATTCAAGCCTGCAAGATGTGCTCAGTGGTTGTCGAAAGGAAGCAAGTCACCTGTCAAAGCAGTGGTGGCAGTGCGTTGCGAAACACTCTGGCAGGAGGCATGCGACCGAAGGCGCCTCTACAACCAAGGTATCGCCGGCGTGTATCTCGCTTCGTGCCACAGCAAATCGACCTTTGCCTATATCTTGTTTGACGTCAATTTTTGTTGATGCGTTAGTAAAAGTCGCGTGTCGCTCTTCAGCAAGAGGCGGCAACACTGAAATTTCTAAAGTGATTGGACCGGTGGTCACCATGAACAACCTACCTCGCCTATCTACGTCACGTACCTCTTGAAAGTCGCCCACTCTGTAACGCTCGAGTTTCTTCCACTTAACTGAGTCAACTGCAAGCATTTTTTCGGCAAGGGCGAAGGATATTTTTGCCCTATTCGGCTCGTTCATTCCCTTATAGCATGCGCCCATCTTTACGAAGGCTTCAACTTTCATATCGTCCGAAACACCTTCCTTTAGTGCCGCCTGTAAGTCGAGCAAGGCCCAAGAGTACTTCTTAAGTTCCATCAAGACGGCGGCTCGCGTCCAGTAGGCCAGGGACAGAGTAAATCCATCGTCCACTTTATGATTTTCACCTAAAATACATCTGGAAGCTCCAGTTTGTCTGTGACTCCAAAGGTACCTACCTGTAGGTGGGGCCCTTAGTACGCTCTGGCAGGCTAGCAGTAACGCCTTGTCGTTTTCTCCCTTTTCCAAAAGCTTCTCCACTTCCAATCGCCGTTTATGAGAAATTTCGGCACTTTTCTTGCGATACACCTCCTGCACGTGACCAAGAGTTTCACACACGATTTCCTTCACCTGGACCAATTGAACCGGATCAAAACGTTAACCTAAACTACTACAACTTACAGGTTTATAACTGTAGATTGCCCCGATACGTTCCCGGTCACTTTTTAGTTTTCCGAACGTGTTCCTAATCCATTTTTCGCCCGCGATTTCGCTTACGTGATCGGAAAACTGCAAGAAGAAGCCCTTTTCGTCGGTCTGCAGTGTTTTTTCGCTGCAACGCAAGAAATAATCTTTATCGGCGAATTTGTTCGACATTTTCGCTGTTCGCGTGGGCAAATATGAGAGCGGATTAAAAATAGTCGTTCTAATTTGGTGGGCCGGCGAAGGCGCATGTCAAATGAAATTCAAATTGGATCCACACGTTGCACAGGAAATTGCATGTTCTAATTTGATGTTAAAAGACCATAGGGAGGAAAGCTGTAGGCATTGACATAGAATCAATTTTTAAGGATATGCCAGGAGTGCGAATTTCAATTTCTCGCGGCATCCACTTTTTTTAATGCATACAGTTCTGGCTTAGATAAAGAAAGGGCGGCTTCTAACACAAAACAAATTAGGTAAGGTAATAAGAATGCACAAGGGGTCGTTTTTATATTTCCGGACTGGGCTGCTTTGAATTCGCGCGCTATATGTGTACCGAAATGAATAAAATCGAATACTGGCCTGTTATAAAATTCGTTACAAAACAAGGAAAACCTCCAAAAATCATTTTTGAAGAAATGTTGGCTGACTTGACGGGGATGATGATCCCTGTCTAGGGCACACAGTGTACAGGGCGGTCCAAATGGGGCACTTTCTGATGGAAAACCCTTTATTTTAAGAGATAGACAAAAATGGACCTAGTTAATAGGTACCTACGTACAAAATATGGCGCGGTTGTTTGAAACGAAAATTTCTAGGTTATGTAGAAATTTTATTAGTTCCAAATATTTTTAATTTCGGGTAATACACAAAAATCAAAATCAACTTTTGTGAATAAAACATTAATAGTATTATAAATTACATAACAAACGTAACTGAAAATTAGTATTGATCTAAATATACTCAGATAAATAAGTAACAATAATAAAGGAAAGTAAAAAAAATTATTTTTGTTAGGAAATGTTGAAATTGTCTCCCAGTCTGTTCGAAACCGATTCTACACCTTTTCCTTACCCCATTTGCAGCTTCTATTAAATTCAAAGGTGAGATTTGGTTAAATGCACCTAGGAACGCCTCTTCTAATTCGTCCCTTGTATTCTTCCTTTGTATTAAAAGGTATCAAGGGGTCTTAAACATGGAGATGGGGGCACTGGATTAGCCCTTGATTCCCCATCCAGATTCCTCCAAACTGCCCATTTAGATGATTCTCGCTGAATGCGGTGGTGCCCCGTCGTGTTGTAAAAATACCCTTTGCAATAAATTAATTGGCATGTCTTCAATAAACGGTTCAAGCTGATGCTGTAAAATTTGCAAATTTCGCTGAGAATTTAGTGCTCCGTCATATATCCCTATATACGGTCCAGATGTCCTCGGTAAATACCCACCCACACATATACATTACATACCTACATACATTAAAACTAAACCTCCCTTGATTCCTTTGCTCCACTGTAACATAATTCCAGTACTACTGATATAGAGTGGCCCGTACGAAAAAATTTAATTTGGCGTCGTATAAGAAAAAACAATTTCCCTGTATAAAATTTGTGTATTGCGATGGATTCTGCATAAAAAAGTGCCTCAATAAAGATTTTTCTAAAATCAGTTAGGTACTTAGAGTTGTTGTTGATAGATTATATTTAAATAATGTATAAACAACCCTTAAACTGCTCTTCAATAATAAATTTCCGTATGCTTTAGGCTTGATCAATTTTTCAAGTTATTAAAACAATCTCTTACAGCATACTTAGAATGCGGAGGTTGCAAATTTCATAATACAGTGAACATTTTTATTTCTATGATAGATTATGTTTAAATAATGTATAAACAACCCTTAAACTGCCCTTGAATAATAAAATTCAGTATGCCTTAAGCCTGCCAAATATTTCAAGTAATTCACACTATAACTTATAGAATGCTTAGAGTGTGGGGGTTGTAAATTTCATAATACAGTGAACATTTTTATTTAGTTGATAGATTATGTTTAAATAATGTATAAACAACCCTTAAACTGCCCTTGAATAATAAAATTCCGTATGCCTTAAGCCTGCCAATTATTTTAAGTAATTCACACAATAACTTATAGAGTACTTAGGGTGCGGGGGTTGTAAATTTCGTAATGCTGTGAACATTTTTATTTCGTTGATAGATTATGTTTAAATAATGTATAAACAACCCTTAAACTGCCCTTCAATAATAAATTTCCGTATGCTTTAGGCTTGATCAGTTTTTCAAGTTATTAAAACAGTCTCTTACAGCATACTCAGAGTGCCGGGGTTGTAAATTTCGTAATACAGTGAACATTTTCATTTCTATGATAGATTATGTTTAAATAATGTATAATTTTGCTGAATGATTATATGACTAAGGGTAGCACAGTAACGGGAGAGCATTATGCAAACAGGATGCCATCGCCTAAGACCCCTTTTCCACTATCCGGTTTGGCCGATCAGGTTCCGGACCTGAAGAAATAAAGATGACTTTGAATTAATCCACTTAGAAAACGTAATCTGAACGGTCAAACCTCATAGTGTCAAAGGAGTCTTTAGGGATGCTATTAAAGTGAACAGACGAGGAAAACTAAACTGGCACAAAGCGTCTTCTTGATCCACGACAATGCACCAATCCAATCCAAACTTTCAAACACTGTTGTAACTAATTTTGCCTTCAAAGAAATTGTACATCCGCCTTATAGTCCAGATCTAGCACCCAGAATCCCGAAGAACCACTAAAGGCCGTTTGCACCGACAAATTTAAGCGGAGCTTAGCTAAAGCGTAGCTCCATGCAACCATTGTCTCAATAATCGTTACCATGGATTTTAAGCTATACTTAAGCTAAGCTCCGCTTAAATTTGTCGGTACAAACGGGCATAAGGGGGACAAAATTTAGAGACAATAACGAACTTATTGCAGCCGCTGAGGGCCATTTTACGAAAAAACCAAATGAATATTTTTATACTGGTTTAAAGATGCTATTGAAACTATTATCCCTGGATTCTGGAATTATACTGACAAAGAGAATTTTGCTGTTGCTCTAGTCCTTTGTTTTCATGCATAGGCCGGGAGTATAAAAACGACCCTTCGTATAATGCGTATTATAAGGAGAAAATGTTTCGCATTCATTAATTGAAAGCAAAAAGGATCCAAAAGTCGGAGACCGATATTGGAACAAGGATTGCAAAGTGTGCTTCATTTGGATTCTCATTACATCTTGTAAATCCTGATGCTTCGTAAATGAATTCGTGAAAATTAAAACGCCCAAAACTGGGCTTAAAATCTAGTTTTAAGATTTTTCAGTGGCCTGTTTCCATAAAAAATGGTACAGAACAACCAGAAATAGTTTAGAGTCCGTTTTTAATTTTGAAAGTTTTGATTATAATTTATCGCAAATTCGTTAAAATAAATCTATCGGAAATACCCATTCTTTGGAAATGTGGAATGTAGATAACGTCGCCGCATGTGACGTTGACCGTACACCTGTTTTCGATAATCTGCGCATCCTTTTCTTGAATTAATATCCAAATCGGTAATAAATCATAGACACGTCGTTATTTGTGCGGGAGTGTTAGTGTCGTGTTTTGATCATTAATGGTTTTCTTGCGGGTTTAATTTCTCCGGATGAAAAGTGCAGGGGTAAGTATTTCGCATAAACTGTCATAAAACCCATTTTGCAAATTAGTACCTACTAGTCCGATTTTTTTTCTTCTTTTAAACGGTAAAAGCCTTTCAATGCATGTTCAAATTAAAAAATACCCACGTTTTCTTCAAAACCAATTTAGTAGCTTCGTTCTAGACATGAAGTTCGTTTATGGTATATGTAAAATTATCAGGGGTTGTAACACTGCCTTTTTTTGAGCCCCCCAAAAAAAATTGTCTCAGGTCGACCCGGAAAAAAAATTTTCTTATAGAATGTGGCCTGTAGAATCCACAATTTCAATCAGATCCAAGATTGGGCCACTAGTTCAAAAGTTACAGCTCTTTGAATTTTCTTTCGAAATTGGTTTCTAGTCCATAACTTTTTATTGAGAAGTCTGATCGAAAAAGTACGAATTGTTTTGGATTCTACGCACCAAAATTAATAAGAAAAAGTGTTTTCCCGAGAAATTTTGGTGTAGTCGAATTTTGGTAAAAAAGGAAGGTTATACACTGCCTTTTTTTGAGCCCCGAAAAAAATTTTCTCAGATCGACCCGAAAAAGAAATTTCCTCGGAAATTTTCTTATAGAATATGGCCTGTAGAATCCATAATTTCAAACAGTTCCAAGATTGGGCTACTAGTTCAAAAGTTACAGCCCTTTGAATTTTCTTTCGAAATTGGTTTCTAGTCTATAACTTTTGATTGAAAAGTCTGATCGAAAAAGTACGAATTGTTTTGGATTCTACGCACCAAAATTAATAAGAAAAAGTGTTTTCCCGAGAAATTTTGGTGCAGTCGATTTTTGGTAAAAAAGGAAGGTTATACCCTAAAAATTATGCATTAAGATAAGCAGATACTTTCACAGAGTCTTCGTTTTCAGGTATTTACCATATAAGTGTTTTACTTTTCCACGGTGTCAGTTAACCTTTAAATGATTGAGATACATTAAAGGAAACCTTCTTTGATCTGTTTGGTTAATGAATTTGGATTAAATTTTAGAACAGAAAGTGAATCGTCTTTAGTGATCTTTCGTATTTATACGCAATACGGTGACGCCTAAAAGAAACGTCCCCGTATCTATAATTTTATGAAACAAAGGGCGCAGGACAGAGCCTTTTGACAATTTTATTTTTTAAAAAAGTAAAAATGACTTCAATAAGAAAAATCAAAGTTGATGATGGTTAACCGGAGACGAAACGTCAGACTTAAAATTTAAAAGTAGCATCTTGTAGAGGAAAAAAAGTGGCTTTAATAATGTGTCACTTATTTTGAAATATCTTTTTAAATAACTTTGGTGAAAAATAAAAATCATTTTGCAAAATTTCGTTTTTTTCTCTCTCCGAAAGTAGTCGGAATTTTTTCAGTTTCAAAACGGCATTTGGTTAAGCATCAAAATACGCAACTTTTCCATATTTAAACTACCTATCTATCTCTTACTGTTTCCGAGGTCCCCATCGGGAGCCTCGAATTTGAATTAACCTGTATATGATCTATTGCTAAC